TGAAGATGTTCATGTCTTCATGTTTTACAATCATTAAAAATTGTTACTTTCTTACTGTATCTTCTTCAAAAATTATTTTCATCATTACGATTATTCATTTCTAGAATTTTCAACTAAAATTCTTTTTTAAGTCAATTTTTTTTTTAATAATTTTATAAACAGTTCTTTGTGAATTTTCAAATTCTTTTGTTTACAATTTAATTTTATACGTAATTTCGATTATTCTGACAATTTTCAATATATTAGAAATTAAAAACTCGAATAATAATTAAAACAAAAAAAAATTCCATTAAACTTTTTGAAAAAAATTAATTCTATAGAATTCTTAATTAAAAGTGTGAAAAGTAAAAATATTCAAAAATTTTAATTTGAAATTTATTTTTAATTCAATATTTATTAGAAAATTCTACGAGAATTCAATTATTTAACTATAAAAATAAATATTTTATTAAACAATTAAATGTTTCTTAAAATTGAATTTTCATAAAGAATTTTATCAACAAATTTTTAAATAATTGTATTCTTTTGACGAATTTTAATAAAATTTTTAAGAATAATATTACATTTTTCGAGGAATTTGATGAATTGTATTAAAAATAATTGAAATTCTTCGATAAGTTTTGATTATAATTATATGAAAATAATTGAATTATTGCGAAAAAATTTATAAAAAATTTGTAAATAATTGAATTTATGTGAAATTTGTATTACTTATGAAAATAATTGAATGTTTGGGTAGATTTTAAAAAAAAATTTATTTTAAATTCAATTCTTTTGAAAAATTTTATAAAAATAGTAGACATTGAAAATAATAAAAAAAAAATTTTGAATGAAATTTTGCCAAGAAAATGTTAAATATTTATTGAAAATAATTGAATTTTTGCAAAGAATTTTTATACTTTTGAAAATAATTTAATTCTTTTGATGAAAATTGTTATTTATGAAAATAATTGAATCTCTGTAAAAAATCTATTATTTATGAAAATAATGGAATTATTGCGAAGAAATTTATAAAAAATTTGTAAATAATTGAATTCTCTTGACTAAATTTAATTAAATTAAGAATAATTTCATTTTTCGAAAAAATTTGATGAAAATTGTACTAAAAATAATTGAAATTCTGCCAAGATTTTTATTAAAATTTTTGAAAATAATTTAATTTTGGAGAAAAATTCAATTATTTATGAAAATTGAAATTAATTAAATTTCTATATGAAGAATTTTATTAAAATTATTTTGAAAAGAAATTGAATTATTAAAAAGAATTTTATTAAAATTTTTGAAAATAATTGAATTTTGGAAAAAAATATTTTTATTTATATAAAATTAATTGAATTTTGAACTAGTTTTTTTAAAAATGTTTGAAAATAATTTAATTTCTGCGGAGAATATTATTAAAATTTTGTTAAAATAATTAAATTCTTTAGGAAAATTTTATTGAAATAGTAGATAATGAAATTCATTGATAATTGAAAATAATTGAATTCCTGTAAATAATTTCATTATTTTTAAAAATAATTGAATTAATTAATTGAATTTGATTAAAATTTTGTTTAAATAATTAAATTCTTTAGGAAAATTTTATTGAAATTCATTATTTTATTGAAAATAATTGAATTTTTGCCAAGAATTTTTTTCAAATCGCTAAAAATAATTGAATCTCGTTGAAGAATTTTATTATTTTTGAAAATAATTGAATTTTTGAGAAATATTTTACTATTCTTATAAACATAATTGAAATCTTTACAAGAATTTTTAAAAAACTTGAAAATAATTGAATTTTTGCGAAGAATTTTATTAAAATTTTTGAAAATAATTGAATTTCTGAGAAGAATTTTACTACTTTTGAAAAATAATTGAAAATCATGAAAATAATCGAATTTCTGCAATCATTTGTAATTGCTTCAAAATTCAATTTGTTTTAGTGTTTTTAAGTAAAATTCTTCTATATAATCCCATTATTTTTAATAATCAATTAAATATATATTTAAAAAAAATTAACTAATTTCAGACAAATTTTAGTTAGGTATTTAAATTTTTTCTAATATCTACGTTTTTTAAAATTTCTAATTAAATTAATTCAAAATTGAAATTTTACAAAATTTTAAATCAAAATCTTTTGAAGTTCATCTACTTTTATGAAAATTGTAAACGCAATTCTTTTAAAATTGAATTAATTTTGAAATTAGTTTTCAAGAATAAAGAAAATAACTTTAGAAAACAACAATTTTCCAGGATTTCGATTAAAATTCTGACTTTTTTGGGTTTTTTTTTAAGATTTATAAAATTCCCTGACATTTCCACGTTTTCCAGGTTTTTAGGTTGCGTAACAGCCCTGCTTTTGTTAACTAAATTTTTAAATCCGAATTTCTTGTATTGGGATAATAATTTCAATGAAAGATGTGAAAAAAATAGTTTTTTGGATAATTACATTGTGAAACCATTATAGAGACAGTTTAGAGCATCCAAAATGACACCAGCGGGAGGAACGTCAAGGAATTAAAGTGCTCGAGACAAAGTGACACGATAAGTCCGCTGAGAGGTATTATGCATTAGTTTTCTCTTTAAAAATCCCCTCATAACCGAGGAAAATTAAACCACTTTTTCATTATTTTAATCCTATTTCATCCATATATACATATATATATATATATATATATATATCTTGATCTATAAAACTGAAATTACATTAAAATATTATAGGCAGAGAGGGGAATTTCAAATTTTCTCACAAAAAAATCTCTTTTACTAATATTATTGGTAAACTTTAAAAAACTAATTTTGTTTTACGCACCTTATTTTTAAGTCTGCAATTGTCTGCTTTTTTACCATTCGGTATAAGAAAATTGTGTTCTATTTTCCATACTTATCTCTATTCTTAGAGTTTATATATATCTATAAATTTTAATTATACCGCATTGTATCAATGGTATATAATTAAAATCAGGCCCTGATTCAAATTCATATAATTATTAGCTTTAGAAATTGCTTTGAGATATCTTCCTTTTAGTTTTCTGTGCGCTAAATAGATTCGACACTCTTAACTTTTTAGACGTTATACTTTTCTATTACCGTATAATAGCAAATTTCCAAGGGACCAGGTAAATTAGAGTCGCTAAATCCTCGCGTAAAAGTTTCTTCCATAAGGAAGTTTTAAAATAACTTTGTCGTTTTTTTTTCTCGTTCCAACTATAGTACCTATACTTTTCTGCAAACCACATGCGTACATTCATTCGACGAATAAAATTAATTAAGAATTTTTTTTTAAACAAAAAGAAATTTATATGTTTATTATGTTCTATTGTGTTTGGCATTCTTTTACGAATGTAATTATTTATTATACGTCCAGGGTTGCCACAAAAATTTAATTTTGTTCTTTCCTGATTTCCAGACAAAATTTTGACTTTTTCTCTGACCCTAAAGAATGTTCTGCGATTTACTCTACAAATTATTATAGATACTTAAAAAATGTTTTACGAATTTCGTTAATTGTAAAATTACTCGAAAACTTCTTCTACAAATCCACCATTTTTTAATAAGTAATTAAATCTATATTTAAAAAATTAATTAATTTCAGAAGAATTTGAATTATTAACATTTTTCAAAAATATAAGTTCATTAAAATTTCGAATTGAAACCTTCTGAAGGTAAAAAAAAACATATAATATAATTATAATTATTTACATATAATATAATAAATTGATGGTGAAAAGCTGAGGGTAAAACAATAATTTCTGGTCGACAGGTGGCCAGAATCACAGAGAAAAGCGAGTGTTGTTTTTGATGCGGGTAAATTTTGGTAGGGTAATTTTAGTGAGGATAAATTTTCTATAATAGAAAATTTACCTTATTTTCGGTGTTAAAATAACACTTCCGAGCTAAAGTTTGATGCAGACACTTTTAACACCGAATTCAGTGTTAAAATAACACTCACTTTTTTCTGTGATCTGGGCACAACAATTTCGAAAATGATTGGTGGGAAACCTCAAAATAATTGAGATTCGTTTCAACAAACACAAATCGCAGCCTTTCAGATGAGCACCCGACATACATACATGCAGATACGACATTGGGACATGGTTCGAAAACCGCAAAGCTGCGGTGCACTTTATACTTGACCACATACATCTAAAAATAGTACTTTAATTACTAAATCAAACCCGAACTGGCAATATTTTCTTCTTAAAATCCTCCGACCAAAATCCGATTCTTTGAAACATGTATCGGACAGGCAGTAAAATAAAAATAAAACTTGCTGGAAATTTCTATTTTTTAAATGAGTTTTTAGTTGTTGCTTTTTGCTTTTTATAAACGAACATGGTTTAGTTTTCTATTGTGTCAAATTTTGCTAATCTTTATATTTAAATGTAACTTTTAATGGTCCTTTAAAAGTTGCACTAACTTTTGTTTCGATTGTTTGTCCAATTCTTTCTTTATAAAAAGAAGGAAAAGAAATAATAGAGAGAATAGAAGCTGCAAGTGAGAAAAAAAATTACTTCTTGGAAAAATAACGAGAAAGAACCAAATTGCTCGGCTCGCGTTTACATTATAATTGCGAAAAAAACAAAAAATGTATTCAATTAATTAACAAAGTCGCATTTACATTTAAAATACCACACATTCGCTTATAAAAAGAGGCACTCTGATCTCAATAAAAAAATGACACTGAAATTTTTGTATGTCAATTTTTTTGTCACGCTTTTGCTGTTTTCAAATTCCCTGAATTTTCCCGGTTTTCCAGGTTTCCTGGTTGCGTGGCAATCCTGTTATAAATATAATAATTCCAGTTTTCCGAGAGAAAATAAAGTGATCAATTTCTTTCAAAGATATACACGGATCTACTATTTTTGATTATTCCTTTTTATTTTATTTGCTGTTTTGACATTGTAGAAAAGGAGTATATACAGTAAAATTTTATTGGAAATCGATTGAAGACGGGTCTTCTAGTTTTGCAGTGTTCAGTGTATATATTCCATGTAGTAGAGGATGAGATATAAATTATGGAACACGTATAAGAAGCTTACTTGCCTCGTTGTTTGAGAGAGCAAAGTGTCATTAATCACCACTGAGGTACAAGTTTCAGAAGTGCAAAGATTTCAAAGCATCTCATCCCTCATTTAGTGACATTCAACTCTTTTTCGATAAATTTACAATATTTTAAGGTGTAAAATATTCATTGTCTGGAAAATCCCATTGGAAGCGTTGAGTTTTATAAACATGTATAGAAAACAAGTTGCAAAAAAATGAGCGAAAAAAATCGCAATTAATTTTTTCAAATAGAACAAGTTTTTGAGGAGCAGGTGTCGCTATAATTATAGCATAGGCGTGAATCTCTTTGATGTGCACCATCATAATCAAAGACGGGTATTATATGTTTCAGCTGGATCCAATCTCGTGGGGAAGTTTACTCAAAGCGTCAGGAGAATAGTGCAGGATGTCAAGGATGAGGGAACCGCGAGTACGTATGATACACTAAATAATTTGCTTCATCTTTTGTCAAGGATATCCAACTGAACTAACACTGTGCGACTTTCTAAAATTCAATTTAATAATGGAAATTAACCTCACGACCATAAAAGTCAATAGACTTGACTTATTTCTTAATTCGAGAAATCTTTGAAAAAGTTATTTATGAAAATTCGGAAACAATTTCAATTAAAATTACCTATCAAATACTAATTAAACAGCTGGTTGCTTGTTTCAATTTTCCTTGAATTACCAATGTCTCAAGCCTTGCTAATATCTTAAATTTATTGCTCTAGGCGAATTAATTTGTATGAAAACTTTCTTATTGCGACACCTCGAGGCTAACGCAAAATGACAGAAACTACTGTCGTTAATTTACTGCAAACCAACCTTAATTAATGCGCACATCTCTCGAGAAAATTTGTATAAATCGAAATTAAATTCTAATCAAATTAATATTTAATTTATATTTGTTATACGGAAATAATAGAAAATGTACTTTTCTTCACGAAACAGGTGGTCAAACGAAAGAGGAAATCATCGAAACGAACGAAAGATTGAGAGCTGTAAGAATACGTCTTGACGGAAGTTACGACACTGCAAAACGAGCTCTCGTCGAGCTTATGTGCAAGTACACAGACAGTAAACAAGTTCGAAACATTTTTCAACGTTACAATTTACTAAAAGTCATGATTAAGGTAAGAATAAGACAAATAAATTTTATCCCAACAAAAAAACCTTTCTAAATTTCCGAACGTTCAAATAAAATTTGTTTATTTCTTCACTAAATTAAAATTTCACTATAATAATTGTTTGGCAGCTATAATCATAAAGTTTCTAAACTTTAACTTTTATTCCAATCAGTAATTTCGAAAAATACTTTTAGTTTCAATGAAAAAATACTTCGACGCCTTTGATCTACAAAACTTGTGATTTTTTAATTCCCAAAAAAAAACTCAATAGTTTTTGTTTTGGGGAAACTAAATATCCTCAACAGAATAAAAAGACTCATTTTGCCAAGCAATATTTATTACACCCCATAAACAGACCATTCATTGTTCTTTCAGCAAGAAAATAAGAGTACGAAAATTCTCAGTTCACGTATATACAATACAAGAAAGTAGTTAAGGTCTCGTCTTATGTTCCCTTCTTCTTCAACCCAAGGGAATCCCCCATCATCTAACTCGGAGAGATTCTCCTGGGTCCAAAAACCTCTAGAATCTGCTTTTCGATTCTTTTGTGAACGATTTTCTTAGTCTTTTACTCACAAAAATTTTCAATCTATCCACTGAATAACTCAGGACATATTAAATTTTCAAGAAAAAACTTTCTTATATTCCCTTAAACGATAGGGTGTATATAAAAATTTTTTCATTACTGTTATCAAACTACAAAAATCTGAATCAGTGAAAATTTTATTAACCGACTTTATATTAATTCTATTACATTTATTTACAAATCTTTTTAAATTCTAAAATTATTCGAAAGCGTCAATCACTTCTTTTCTAAATAAATATTTAATCATTATTATTTTTATAATTGGAATTAAAATTTTCAAAAATTCGAAAATTCAAACTTTTTTAAATTTCAATAAACTTATAATAATTAAAGATGGCCCAGTGATAAAATCATTATTTTATACTATACAAATATTGTAAAGGGTGTCTAACAAGGATTGAGAAAATAATTCCCTGACTTTTCCATGACCTTTCCCTGACTTTTTACTAATTTTATTTCTGCTTTCTTGGGACTAAAATATAGTCACTAACATATTCTCTTACATTTCCTGACTTCCCTGACCGATAAACACCTTGTTAATAGTCTCCACTCTTTGGTAAAAAATTTTAAATTATTAAAAATTTTCAAAAATTCAAAAACCCAATTTTTTTAAAATTCAACATTTTTTCTTCTCTTTTATGACATTTAGCTTCATTATTTTTGTGCTCTTGGAAAATACTTTACTTATTTAATAGTCTCCAATCTGTGGTAAAAAATTTTAAATTATTAAAAACTTTCAAAAATTCAAAAACCCAATTTTTTTAAAATTCAACATTTTTTCTTCTCTTTTATGGCATTAAGCTTCATTATTTAGCTTAATTATTTTTGTGCTCTTGGAAAATACTTTACTTATTTAATAGTCTCCACTCTTTGGTAAAAAATTTTACATTATTAAAAATTTTCAAAAATTCAAAAACCCAATTTTTTTTAAAATTCAACATTTTTTCTTCTCTTTTACGGCATTTAGCTTCATTATTTTTGGGCACTTCAAAAATACTTCACTTATTTAATAGTCTCCACTCTTTGGTAAAAAATTCAAAATGATTAAAAATCATCAAAAATTCAAAAACCGAATTGATTAATTGAATTTTAATAAAATTTTGTTCAAATAATTGAATTCTTTAGAAAAATTTTATTGAAATTTATTGAAGTGTGGAGAAGTTTTGAAAATAATTGAATTTCGGAGAAGAATTTAATTATTTCTAAAGATAATTGAAAATTTGACGAGACTTTTTAAAAAAATTTTATTGTAATTTTATTTTGCGAACAATTTTATTACTTTTGAAAATAATTGAATTATTTGCAATCATTTGTAATTTCTCTAAAATTCTTCAAAATATATGGTACAATTTACGAACTTTTCTGCCTTTTTCTCAATCAAACTAGACTCTGAAAATCAAGATAACTAACATTTTATACCAATAAAGTTTAATTTGCTTGCAATATATGGAAAAAAAAGTCAAAACAGTCGCATTTTATTAAAATAAGTCGAAAAAAGTCGATTTTTTTAAACAGTCAAAAAAAGTTCTATTATCCAGGATATTAGAAAAATGTGATTCTATTTTCTATTTTTTTCCGGATTTGTTACTAAATCTAACTCTCGAACGAATTGTAAAAAAGAAGCAATTAAATGGAGTTGAAGGACATTTTTCTTAATTTTCCAGGACGTAATCAAGTTGGAGACTCAATATTGGACGTTAGTAGATATACCGAGGCAAGAAAAGCAGGAAACAGTGCCGGCTTTTGTACTGAGAGCTTGCGCTATTATGGAGAAAACCCATAAAAGTGGAGAAGGTGTGAAGACCACGGCACGACTCGCGGAAGAAGCGGAAAGTAAAAGAGAACGCATCGAACGTCTTGAAGGTATACACTTGTTACATTATAAATATTACATATATCCTTATCGCCACATGTCCTATAAAAGTCTCATATTGATCGTAAATTTTTATCAGTTTCTTTTATATTCAAAAACTGATCCTTTTTTTATTTACAGCATCATTTTATGCGATGCTAAATATTGCACAATATAAATTTAATACTAAAAAAAGTAATTACTACTCTTAATTTAATGTATTATTGGATTTTCAATTCTGAATTTTATTATTGTAATATTTAATAATTAATAATGAATGTTTTGTCAGAACAATTAGACACAATTTTGTGAACAAGTCAATGAAAATAAATGCGACAGTGAAATATTTGTTCTTCTGGGCAAGAAGCCAGGAAATCTCATTGTCTTTGGGTATAACATGGGTTAAGTGGTGGTATACAATCTGAACTTATTTCTTAAAGTTCCACTTCTGTTCGAGAGATTTTATTTCGATCATTACCTTTCCGCTCGAATAAATCCTATCTGTCAACTATCCTCTTTTCTATAGAGTTACTTTTTCATTTCCTTTTGAAATTTTTACATTTCTCTCATTCATAAAATGCGGAGCTATATATGTAGATACTATTTTCAATTTACTAATAATTTTCCTTCTTCCTTTTTTTATCATTCTCTTAAAGTCAGCGAATAAAATCCATTTGGGGATAAAGAAAGCCAATTTTTTCCCTTAATCAAAAAATTTATCTCAAAAGATAAAAAAAAATATATCCGCGTATTTTGTGGTATTTTAATTTCATAAAACTGACCTTTTTAATCTCTGCTTTAGCAATCATCATAAGTTGTAAAAAAAAGGACTTCTTTATTATTTAAATGAAAACAAAAAGAAATGAAGCTCGAGATTTACGTTTTACCGTTTCAAATGAAGCAGTTTTCTTGGTTGAAAATTTTTCCAGTTTTAATTTAGCTTTGGGAATTACAAAAAACTTGTTATAGCTTTAAAAAATGGAAAAATTCTCTTCCCTCTATTCATAGAAAAAATTAAATGCAATAAATTCTATTGTTTTTTTTTTTTTTTTTTTTTTGAAAAATTAATTTTCTTGAATTCTAGAAAAGAAAATTATTATTTACCTAATAAGCATGTTGGAGAAAATAAAAAATATTCTTATTTCAGATATGACAATGGCCCAAATTGAAGCGGAAAACACACAAATGACCAATGATCTTTACAGGCTACTAAAAAAATATACTGGTTTAAGAAATTTAATTAGAGTTCTCAAGGTACTGTCTTTCTTTAAAATTTTCATATATTCTGTAATTTATTGCATATTCTTAATTTTCTAAGCATCATAAAAATTTTGCTCTTCGCTAAATTAGATTTCTTTCTATGATTTACAACAATATAAATTTTAAAAATTGTAAAATAGTGAAAAACGTAAATGTTTTTTAAAAAATATTTAAAATAATTAAAAATTTCTCAAAATTCGATTATAAATAATTCAACTCTTTAATAATTTTACCAAATTTTCCAAAATTAGTGAAGGGAATTTCGCAACAGAATAACTAATTTTATTTTAAAAATATATAGACACTACTCTTAAAGTTTTTAATTAAATTTTTGCTTTTAAGACTTATCTTTTTTAGTTTTCTCATATAACTCAACTTCCTTTTTTTTATATATATAGGAATCAGGAAAAAAGTTAAAATTACATCCGGAAATCAGGGAAAAGTCAGGGAAAAACGAAATGAAATCTTGTATAGTAGAAAATTAGTTTTTAAAAATGAAAAAAAAAAAGTTTTGTACATATTAGCCTGATTTCCTATTAATGTCGCCTTGCTAAACAAGAAAATATGAAATGAAAGAAGAGTAATCCCCGAAGCATGAAAGAAAGTATTTGCTCTTTCTAAAGTCTAGAGAAGAAGGTTGCTCTCAATTGAACTAACGCTTCAACTCTGTGGAAAAGCTAAATCATATTATAAAAAGAGTTGAAAGGCAGCAAGAGAGGATCGATGTTCGTCTGAGAATATTCTCTATTCTTTTGCTTCAATAATCATCAATTGACGAGACCACTATATATACACTATGCCCTCTAAAAGATCTCTAAATCAATAAAAAAAAAGAATCAAAATCATTTTACAGATTTTCAAGAAATTATAACCGGATTTCCTTTTATGAAACCATTGTAAAAATATCACGTGTGTTCTACTAAAAAACGAAAATTCTTAAAATTCAACAATTTTCTTTTATTTTAAGGCAATTATTTTTGGGTTCTTCAAAACCTGCTCGTTTTTTAAACTTAAACCCTTTGGTAAAAAAAAACTACCCTCACCACTTGCAGGAAAAATAAATAAATAAGCACAATTTTATTATAGAGGTACAACAGAGTTTACAAACATCATACAGAAAATATAAACTGCAAATATACCCAAATTATTAACTTCAATCAAAGAGCAAAACGTTTGCATGCTTATTAAATCACACGTACAGTTCTGATTGTTTTCGTTTCCGTGCTGATACTCTAATCGATAGAACACATATTGAAGTCCTGCATTCGATTTGACTTTTAATTTATTATAATTACCCTCAATAACAACATTCTCCATTTGCAGGGCTCGAATCAGTTCAAGTATTTAAAATACGGACTTTACGGACCAAAAATTAAAAATTACGGACCAATGACTGTCAAAATTATAGCCAGACTTTAGGCAAATATATATAAAATTTGATTACTCTTTTAATATAAACTTTTTGCTAAACTGCCTTTTCTTTAATATTTCCTAATTTCTATAAATCTGAAAAACATCTTAATAACTGTTCTAGGAGGAGTATAATAGTTCAAAAGTTTATCCGTTGTTTCCTCGCTATACAATCCTGAAGGATATGATTAAGGACATCATGCATAATCCAGATTATATGGAAGTCTGTCACGAAGTTGACCAAGCATAGCGGCCGGACCCCCTCCACCGTTCACCACGAATGACTTTGTAATTTCATTTTTAATATTTAATTACGTGGCTGGTGAAGGGGGTGTTCAACAAATAAATTCGAAATTCTAAAATTTCTCTTTCCTTTAAAACCAATTTCGAAATGAATTTATAATGTATAATGTTCCTTATAACAATTAAGAATTAAGATCGTTACAAATAGCGATAAAAATTACTTTTCGTTTAAATTACAAATCGTTTAAAAAAATGTTTATAACATTTCTTATACATGACACTAAAATGCATTTTTCATAAAATATTCAGTTAACTTTCACTTTTTTATAAGAAACAAAAATATAAAATTTATAACAAAAAATATCCAACTTAGCTAAATAAAACCAAATTTTTTAATATTTTTAAGAACCTAAAGGGTATTTTACATAAATTCATTTTTATGTAATTACCATAATTTCAAAAAAAAAAAAAACATTTTTCACAACTCTGTAATTGCGAACTAATTATAAAATAATTGGAATTTTTTCTAAAACTAACAAATCTATAGGTGTAAATTTCCAATATATATATTTAGGGTATATTCAATAATTATTGATTAAGCGCAAGTAATATCTAAAAAAAAAGATCTGTTGAATTCATTCATTTCTGATTTCGATCGGAATAGCCGCTTGCACTTCAAAACACAAAGTAACTATATTTTATAATATAATAATAAAAATGAGAGACGTGCTGAGAAACATATACTTACAAGCATTTAAACAAATTTACTTTTGAAAATAAATTATTATATTTAAAATTTTAAATAGTAAGTATATTTTATCTCAGTGCAATATTAACTTATATATGAAATTGTTGATAGTAGATAATAATTAAGTGAAGATTATAAAAATCTAATTGATTAAAAAGGTGCTGAAAAAGTAATTCCATATTTTCTTTAATTATCGTAAAACAATATAAAGAATTTATATTTATTTCTTTATTTTTTTGCGGTGAAATATATTTAATAATTTTCAGTTATTGTTCAGTATTCTTGAGCCGAATTTTATAGATAGTACTTATTAATCAAATGCGAATTCGAATGATTTAATGAAAAAATTATTGTTGATGATAGAATATAACGTATCGTAGATAAAGCAAATAATTAGTTAATTTATAATAACTCTTGTATATAAAAAATACTAAAGTAAATTCAAAACTCAAAATCAGTTCAAATAGAATTTAATCTAATTTCCCTTTATTTTAATGTCACTAAATGAATGTAAAGTTATTTTATTTTTTTAAGAAAAGTTCAAAATACTTCCAAAAGTTTCGAACGTTCAAATGATAAATATTTTTAATTACTTTATTTAATTTTGAATCTCATTTCAAAACTATTGTTTTTTAAACTTAAGAACTTTGATTAAAAATTAATTTTTAATCAAACAAATATTTCTAATTTATATTTTGCTTTTCAGTGCAGGAATTATAGGAATATTTAAACAGAAGAAAATTTATTTGAACATTCGAAAATTTGAGGAAATTAAATACTTTCATTTCTTTTTCAAAGTCAGTTAAAAATTAAGAACAATTGTGTATAAATTGGTAATAAAAGAGCCTTCTAATGTGAATATATATTTCACTATTATATAGGTAATTATAATTTATAATAATGAAAGTGACATATCGTAATTAGAATATTAAAAAAATATTGTTCAGTATAATTATAAAAATTTTATTAGCGATGGAAAATTTTCAAAATCGCGATATAAATTTAAGAAATTTAGCGGAATATTAAAATTGTGCCGTTTTTTTAAATTAAATGCGCTACATAATGAAATATAAAATATTTATCAATATATTGATGGTATGTAGTTAGAACATTTTCAAAAGATCGTTTTTTAGAAAATTTGGAGGAATTTTATGAACTTCATAACTTATTAAAAATTATTATAAGTACAAACAACATTTTTCATTAAAAATATTTTCATAAATTATTGATTGCGAAAATAAATAAATATTTTAATTTAAATTAACTTAAACCAAATTTAAATAAAAAACTTAACATTTAGGAACTTCATAATTCATTTTTATGATATGCGACGTAAAATTATTCCAATAAAATTTGTATTTAAAGAAAAAAAAATAAATTTTAAATCAGATATTTTGTTAATATAATAAACATTTTTGCTTTTATTTCTTTAATTTTTTAAGTACGTCTTCAAAAATAAACAAGAAAAGAAAAAGTGAAGTTATAGCAGTTTATAGATTTCCTTTAAGCAAATATAGTTACTCAACTTTTCTATAAGATATTTTAAGAAAATTTGAAAGAAACAGATTAAAACGATATAATCTATTTATATACCTTCTATAGTTACTATATGAAAACAATTATTCCGCTCAGCCAAATGAAATCAAATTTTAATTATTATAGCGAAAATTATCAAGAAAATAAGTAGAAAATAAAATCAAATTTTTATTACATATAATTAAAGGCAATTATCAAACAATTAGTTAATTACAATTAATTAAAATCAAACTATACTTAAAAAATCAAAATCAAATATTATTACAATAAAATTTAGTTTGAATTTGACATTATGTATTGAAAAATTAAAAATATAAAGAGCCGGGCTGGATAATTATATTTTATTTATTTTTTTGTTAAAAAAATAACCGCAGAAAATATATAAACCAAATAAAATGCTATTTGTATAAAATAATATAATAATAACATAATAGAATTAAAAAAAAACAGAAATGGCTGACAGCCCGAAATCAAAATACGAAATAATGCGAGTGTAATATTGAGATGAAGAGAAATCTGCTATTTTTCAGGAAATGGCAAACCATTTCAATATTAGACGACGATTAGTGACTAGCTTAAAAAATAAAATATCATTTAAATATCATCTACCCTCTATCACCAAAATATCAATTTATAAAGCATTTTATAATAAGAAAACAATTATAGGTACCCTGAAAAAAATGAGTTTGATTTAAATAAATAACTTGTTTATTATCAAATAAATATTCACTTGAATCAAAAATTCTTATATGTTAATTAATTAATTAATTAATTAATTATTTATTAATTATTCATTTTATATTTATTTATCCAATAAAATTTCATTTAATATTAGGATTAATAAAAAAAACTTTAAAAAATTTTAATATTTATTTTAATCACCGTTTTTCTAAGGATATCAAATTGAGACAAAAAACATATCAAAATTGTTGCGAAGCAACGTTTTGATACGTTTTTTGTCTCAATTTGAGATCCTTAGAAAGAATATAAATTATAAATGATATTTGGTTCAAATACAAAAATTATTAGTTCAAATAAAATTTATTTTATTGAAATAAAAATTATTGATTTCAAGTAAATATTTATTTGACAATAGACAATAAATTATTTGAATTTAATAAATTTTCTTTTTCATTAAAAATTCTACAATTATTTAGAAAAATTATTTAGGTATGCTTTGAATTTGAATAATGAGTTATAAATAACAATTTATTTTCCAAACAAGAAAATAAAATAATTAATTTAAATTTCTCTTTCGTTTTAATTTTAATTTTCAAATATTAAAAATCAGATTAAATAATGAGGCTGAAACTGTCATCCACTGAATTTTGGAAATTAAATTTTTAAATTAAATAATTTCTTCGCTAAAAACCAACATCAAATTTTGAATAATTAAATAGGTGCTTAAAACTCGGTACAATTTTCAGCTTTGTAAACAAATATTTTACTTTAAAATTTAATTTCCAAAATTAAGTGCGGGTGCCAGTTTCAGTATCATAATTAATTGAAAAATTAATTGTAATTTAGAAATTATTATTTAAAAAAAATAGAAAAAAATTAATTTTCTAATTTTAATAAATTTTAAAATACCAATATTAATTTTACAAACTAGTTTTTTTTTTAAATTGCGATTAGACTTTAATCTATACGAAATTGAATATTCATCCCATATAATATCTTCCTATAGACCAACTATACTAAACATACATAAATGTATATTGAAAATTATGATAGATTTTAAAAATATATAAGATTATAATAATTACAGCCAGATAGCGCGAAATGCGTAGAAAAAAGAAAAAAATCTAAATATTTAATGCAATGACTTTGAATTGAAGAACATAGCCAATGTGCTCGCCTTTTCGACAAAATTAGGAGAGTGCCAAATAGATTTGAAATTTTATATAAAAAATACGAATGAATGCTTCTTCTCTTAAGAGTGTTTAAATTTTCGAATGGACATGTTCTATAGTTTTTAAGCGAATTGTATATTACATAATATAGATTATAAAAATTTGCACGCTGTCTGAAAATTATATTCGATTTCAAATTTTTACTTTTACAAATTTTTTCACTTTTTCCTCTTTTTATATATTTTTTCATTTTTCAATTTTTTGAAAATTAGGAAACTTAATTTAACATTGAATTTATTAATATCAAATTAGCAAATTAACAAATTAAAGAAATTTATTAAAGTTTAATAAAATTATAACAATGTTATAAATTCAGTGAATTTTCATTAGAAAAATATTCAATATTTAAAAAATATTTAAAATAATATTTAAAAATATTTAAACTAATTAAAAAAAACGCTTATATTTTAATTTATAAAAAATAAATTCTTTCCAACGAATAAGAAAAATATTTTCATACAGCGTACAATTCTCTATTATAATATTAAAAAATTTTTAAACATTTTCAACGTCAAACGCGAGATATCTACCTAAAATGTGTTTAACAGTCTGTAAATAGTTATACTGTATATGTAAATTAAATTGCGTAAATTTAAGGACTTTCGGAAATTTTTCTCATCTTCAATCTTTTTAGTAAAAATAAAATAAGAATTTTACCTTTTTAATTCGATTATAAAATTGATTTTATGATTACCTGACAAATAATCAATGTTTTAATAATACGTTCATCGAATTTTAAAAATAGTATAAAAAATTGAAGATTTGCAAAATATCGAAGAGCAGAAAAAAAAATCCAGCCTTTAAATATCACATATTAATCTAAAATCTAAACTATATCATACTAATATGGAAAATTGGTAAAATGAATACTTTATGAATGTATACATTATTATAAATATAAATGACGTATTATGGAATATCTTCCGCAAGTGAAAATTCGACCAATCTATTTGTCTATGTCATTATAAATTATATACTAATACATATACGCATCACTTGCGTTTTTCATGCCTTCATGCTTCCTATGTATATCTTTACATGAAAAATTTTACAAAAAAATATTTATCTTCCTTGAAAAAATTAATAATCAAAGAAATCATTCTCTGAAATATATATGAAAATATTTTCAAGTAGTAAAATAGTTTCTAAATTAATTTATTAGATATTTGTAAATACTTAATTGAATTATAATTATTCCTTTAATATAAAGGAATATATTTTTTAATATTATTAATATTTTTATTATGTTTCTCATTATTTGATTTTCCGTTTAATTTTTCTTTTTCAAGTATTGTGATCTTTATAAAATACGATATAATAATAAAATTATTCGCAAAAGTTGACAAAAAAAACTATTGAAGATATTTATAATAAATTACGCTGGACTTAAAAATGGAATATTTAATATTCCTTTATAAATAAAGTATTTAGGAGAGAAAAGAAAGAAAGAAAAAAGAAAGAAAGAAAAAAAGAAAGAATGAAAAAAGAAAGAAAGATTAAAAGAAAATAGAAAGATAGAAAGAAAGCGAGAAAGAGAGAAAGAAATAATTTAAATATGGGGAATATTTTTAATTTAATAAAGTGGTATACCAAAAAATGTATTGAAATTAGATGTAAGAATGAATTCTCTTTTTTGATGTCACTGTATAGATCTACGTATGTTGTTAGATTTTAAGCAGCTTTGTCCGGATAGTTATAAACAATATAAGCATATCTTATACCAATTTTCTTTTTTTACGTTTTTTACGATATAATTTAAAATTTCATTATAATTATGATCTTTTCCGTTAAAATAATTTTCGAAATATCCTTTTTTTCAACAATGTCAAACAATATAAATTTTGCGAATTTATAAGGACGCTCCTCAGTGAAAAAAATTTTAGGTTATGTTTGTTAACTTTTTAGTAATAATACACAAAGAGGATTAACTCTCAATGCAACCTAATTATATGAAAATCCTTATTACAACAAAATTATTCAATAAAAATTATTTTCATTTTATAAAAATTGAAAAAAGTTTACTAATGTAGGAAAAACGATGATAAATATAACTTAAAATTTTTTTGGAAATAGAGGAATCTTTGATAAAGCGTCACATATACTAAAAATTTACTGTATAACAATTAAATTTTAATAATTTAATTAACAAAACTAGTTTTAATTTAATTATTCAATTATCTAAATTAAGTTTAACGCTTTAATGTATCAAATACATTTTATTAAAAATTAATTTTAGTTAAATAATATAAACAGTATTGTTGTAAAAATACAATACATATAGAAAAGTATAAAAAATGTAACAAAATTTTAAGAGATACTTATAGACATATAGATATACATATTTGCATACCCGATACCCATTTATCTATTCACTGATGATAAAATAAATTCTAGTTAGTAAAATTCAAATTTAAGTTTAAAATTTTTCAATAACTTATTGAATATAAAATTTCTTTTTTGCATTTTTGTATTAGCCTACTCAAATGTTTTTACTAACGAATATATACAAAATATAGATGTTTGACCAGAAGTTCAAAAAAATTTTAAAAATAGAAGTTACCATTATTATCGTATATTATTGGTAAAATTAAATAATTTCAAAAATATTGAAATAATATTCACCAATTCATCGTGTGCGTATTTTTGCCTTTTTTCATTAAAAACCAAATTTTTAATAATTCAATTTGTTGTGCAATTTACGAATAAAGGAAAATATACATATATTCTCCAAATCAGAATTAATGAAAAATTAACTAATGCCTTCAATTGGTCGAAATAGTTATTAATTTAAATTAATAATTTTTTTTACGAATTAAGTGTTTTCAAGAAGTTAAAACACTTTTTGTATTAAACAAATGATTCAAATTCAACAAAAAATGTAATCAAATGATTCAAATTCAATAAAAATGTAATCAAATGATTCAAGTCAAATGAAAGCCGATAATAATCAAATATCTGAATAATGTCAAATGAACTAAAACTCATGTAATTGCATACAATAGAAAATACTTATTGTATCTTTTTTGATTAATTTGACAAAAAAAGATTCGTAGGAATAATATCCGTATCGATATGTGCATTTATATATTGAAAAAATATTTTCCAATTGATTTATATTTTTTCTTTATAATTAAAAAGAATTATTGTCATTTGACTGTTACGCTTTGTTAATAAAGTATTTATAAAAAAAACCTGGTTCTTTTAATTCTCAAAATAAACATTCATTCCATGGGACACTTTTTTACCAAACTAAAAATAAGTTCTTTGATTGTTTGTTGACAGTAACCAAAAGTATCTTCGATTTCTTTGTTCGTATATGTAGTTAATTAAGAGAAAATAATAAACATATATACCCATTTTCTTTTGTAAATAACGTAACTGCCGACTCGATGTTGTACCACGTGCACTCAAACACATTTTCACTTTTAAATCCAAACATTTTATTGTTTAAATAGAACTCCGCGTGAATAGTTAATTACTCTTTGAATTCATTCAATCAATGTGATTTTATAATATTATTAAAAAGAACATTCACATTCACATTAAACAAGAACATTCACAAAAACATTCACATTCACATTAAACAAGAACATTCACATTTTCACTTTTAAATCGAAACATTTTATCATTTAAATAAAACTCCGCGTGAATATTTAATTACTCCTTGAATTCTTTCAATCAATGTGATTTTATAATATTATTAAAAAGAAAAACGTATATTTTATTTCACCACTTTTTCAAACTTGAACGGGGACGGGACTAATTTAACAAACGAAAGGTTAGGTCTTTTAAACTTAAAGGCTTGTTTGCAATAATTTTAAGGAGAGTTCACACGAAAGCAGGGTTGGGCGCGTAAATTCCCTCAAGTAAATTAAGTCATTTGTTTCGGTAAATTACCTCGTAATCCTCGTATTTTACTTCGAAAGTTGTATACACAATGTATTTTTTAAGTATTTTTTATTGTTTTTTGTAAAATACTTATTAAAATTATTCAAAAAGGCAAAAACCAGGTATTTTACGTCATAAACCACGAGTGTCAAGAGGGGAGGGTCAGTTTTCAAAATTCTTCCGAATGTTGCGAGTGGCGCTGCTTAACCACTTTTTAACTTATGTTTTACTTCTCTAGTTGCCAACAACTCATTGCTTAAATTATTTTGGCGCCTTCGCTTCATAAGTGTTGTGACTTGTTTTGTTTTTTCGCGACCGGTGTTGTCGGTGTTAAAATTAACTAAATCGAGAGTTTTTAATAAAAACTAGAGCAATCATGTGGAACCAATTTGATACTGGTATGTCAACGGACGGAGGTTTCATGGACGAAAGTCGTATGGATACAACAATCGATGATGAGAAAAAAGGAAGAAGAGCTGATAACCTCGTTCCCGTCATGATTGGACATTTAATTAACAGTGGTCCTGAACTTAAATTACATGGTTTACCAGTTCGTGTTGTTTCTGTTGTTGCCAGAATTAATAGCATTGATCAAGTCACGACAAAAGTTACATATGTTATTCAAGATGAAACAGGTATGAAACGAATGTTGAAAATATTTTATGTCACGTGACACATGCTTCTTGCATCCTTTGTTTCCCCCCTCATGAGGAGAAACTCCTGAATTTGCAATTTTTTTTATAAAAAAGAAATCCAAGACCTAATTTTGTATGAGAATGTAAAAAGTTCCTATAATTATTTAGTTTATTTATTGGTGAAAAGATCTAAAACTAAATGAATCAGAATACGATTCAAAATTAATAAATCTTAATATTTAATTGCAGGTACAATTAAAGCCATTAAATGGAATTCTGCGGAAGATGAGGCCGATTCGAGAGAACAAGAATTCAAGGTCGGAAGTTACGTTCACGTATTTGGACTTCCCCGAGAGCAGGATGGAGAAAAACATATTTTAGTTTTGCGTATCTTTAAACTCAAGGAGATAAATGAATTGACATGTCACCTCCTAGAAGTGTTCTATGTCTGTCAGATGGGTTTCCACAAGCAAAATTCAACAATGAAACCAGTTGGCGGTACAGCTGATAATAGATCAGGCTCTACGGAAAATTACGATTTTCCCGGTATGGATAGAGATCAGTCTCACGTTTTCCATATAATAAAAAATGACATTTCTGATAGCGGAATCGAAAGGGATGAAATAAAGGCTAAAGTTCCTTCACACATTGTTTCGAAAATTGATGATATTCTTGAATTTCTTGCTGGCGAGGGACATATTTACACCACACGTACCGACAATCATTTCAAAGCAACTTAACTTATTTATTTAGATTTAGTTTCTTATAACCAAATTTACTTTTAAGTTCCTGTCAAATGATGTTTCAAATTTATGTACCTTTTTGAATTTGTGCTAGAATTGTTTTCTTAAAATCCAATCGAAAAAAAGTTTGTTTTAAAACGAATTCTGTACAATACATACAAAATCATGAAATATATATTATACGTAATTTTCTACAATTTCGTTTACATTTTTTTATAATTAAAAATAAATTGTTTTGTCTATTTTCATTCTAAAAATTACGAACATAACCTAAAAATTTCTGCTTCTTCTTAGGTATTTTTTTGGATTTTATAATTCGATTATTAGTTCATTTGAACTATTTTAAGTTATTTTAATTTATTAATTTACAGAATAATTGTAAACGTAAAAATTCAAATTTCCCTCTCTAAATATTAGCAAAGATGGCGGATTTTAATTCCTAGAAAATAGCTTTCATTTTAGAAAGAAAGAAAGATAAACAATTTGATAAGTATAACGTAAAGTATTTCCGATCTTCATGAAAAGTTTAGGAATACTATTTTAATAAAAAGTAAAAAATTTATTAAAATATTTAAATCAGCAATACAGGAAGTTGGCGAAAAAGAAAGACGCATGCGCACTTGTGCAGTAATCTGTTTTTAGAAGGTTTGTGACGTATATGACTCCGCCATTTCTGTCATTTCTGTTTTATGGTGTAATAACTGAGAAGAGAAAGCATTGTTTTTCCTTAAATGCTACTCGACAAACCAAAGGCAGACAAGTGTCAACATTAAAAAGTGATACACAGTTTAAAGTGTTCTAATTTCTCCCTTGATAGTAACTTATAAACGCAGATAAACACAAAATTTTTCATTTTTGTGTCTTAACCTGATACATCTGCGTCCTTAAAAGCGTTATGTACTGATAATTTTCTAGTTTTACGGTGTTTCTATCATCGAAAAGAAAGATGCCGAAGAAATCGAATAAATCCTCTTGGGGTGGAAAACAACATTTTCGATCTGGAAACCCTGATGATAAGCATTATTTTGGTAAGAGGAAAACAACATTATACGTATTAATGTATTATCTCTATAGTTTTCGTATCGAAACGTTATTTCTAAGCTTTTATGTATTTTATTTATTTCTTATCTTTTTTGTATCTATTATCATTTACAGCTGTTTATTTTTAAGTCTACGAAAATTATTTACTCACGGCGTATGTAGATCATTAATTCCAATTCTAAATTTTCATATATAAACGATTCTGAATAAATTTTCCCCTCTTTCTTTCAAACGCATTTTTAATGTTAATTTTTATTTGCAAAGATGTTTCTAAATTGGATAAAATTTTTATTTGTATTTCAAGTAAAATAGCTTTAAGATTAAAAGTCGAAAGTAATCGAGAATTTATTAAAACAACCTTGTTCATTTAAAGAATACAACACTTTTAGGAAACATTGTAGAAAGTTTACATAACTTTTTAATAAACTATTCTTAACTGATTGTGAGGTAAATGCTTTCTTTGAAAAAGACTCATTATTGAAATTATAATAATAAAAGGCTTATGAAATTTAGAATCTCTGAACTTAAATTGTTTTGATAATTATTCAGTAAAAATAATGGTTGTCGTTATCTCCTTTGTGAAATGAGAGCGCTTCGAATTTTGCTGACAAATCTTTCGTAATCAAACTTTAAAACTTTCTTTTAACTTTGTTGAAAAACAATGATATTTTAATTAAATTAAATAATGATATAATGTTTTATTTTATCAAACGCCTTGAATTGGAAAAATTTATTTATTTTTGGAGTAATTTTGAGTGTTACTGTAAATTAAAAATTTTGAATTAGGTCATGATGATCGTGTTGGTGGTCGTCCAGAAGGGAACAATGTGTTTGGCGGAAATAGGCCTAGAGTATCATTTAAAACACAATTTAAAGCATCAAAAGAGAAACAGAGACACTTGGATTTTGAAGATATTGCCATGACTGTTGGAGGCAATAATAATGGTAGACAAGTAGTAGTTAGAGGCAGAGGCAGAAACAATTACAACACATCTGCATCTCGGGTACGTGGAAGAAATAGTCCTTTGCCACCACGAATGTCTAACAAATATGTTGTAAGACCAGCTCAATTAAACTTAGGTGAAGTCAGTTGGTATAAAGTTATCGTAAGTATTTATTTTTTATTTAAAAAGAAAATATTCTTAAAAAAATATTACAATTATTAATTACTACCTTCTTTTACAGATACTGTATGGCTTTAAATACACTAAGGATTTCGTATTAAGTACACTAATGTCTTATCTAGCACCTGATACATTCGTACCCATCATGGTAAATTTAAAAATCATTCTAAAAATTTAAAATCATTTTTATGTAACATTTTCTTTGATCAGTCATTAATTTCCTTCTTTTCTTTAATTCACAGTATAAAAGAACAGAAAAGGAAGCGTATTTCTTCGTTGATAACGCAAGTACAGCAACAAAATTACAAAGACTTGATAATCAAATTTCGACAAATGATGGATTTAAATTGAAAATTCGTGTGAGACCAGGAAGTCCGGTATTTGAAATTAATGACGCTTTTAAAGAGAGATTGAAGCAAGCAATGAATAAGAGATATTCACAAGAAACAAATGCGTTGGATCTTTCAAGATTTCATCTTGATCCAGGTTCGATATATTTTTTAAATTTAAATACAATGAATAGAATTTTTAGCTAAAATGATAAATTTACATATTATTTCAGAGCTTGCGGACGATTATTTTTGTGCTTTAAACAAGTCCCCAGTTCTACAGACAGTGTTGGATATTGTTGCAACTCACATTCCAAATTTGGAAGCCTTAAATTTAGACGGAAATAAATTACATTCGATAGAGAGACTTAATATGCTTAAAACAAAATTGGAAAAACTCAAGATTTTATATGTTGGAGATAACAAAGTAAGTTTCTGTTTTAAAATGATATTTTTTATCGAGACATTGATTACAGAAATGAGTCACTGTATCAAGGTCAAGGGAGTTTTGACGTCTCAGTGTTTTTTTTTTTTTTTATTATTTATTTGTTTTTCTTAATATCACAAAATTTTTAAGTAAACGAAAGTGAATTAAATATCAGGAATAATTTTAAAAACCTTTTGCTTGATAATTTTTATTCTTCTACAAATATATACAAATTCTACGAATAGAAATAAAATCGAAAAGAGAATTTATTAAAAACTTTTCTAATCTGAAAAATTGAAAATTACAGATTCGAGAAATAGGTCAATTAGACGTGATCAGGGATTTGAAACTGGAAGAATTGAGACTGGCAGGAAATCCCGTGTGCAATAAGTATAGATCTCGAAACAGTGAATATGTAAGGTAACGTACAATGTGGAATTTCTTTTACTGACTATAAATTGAAACAGATTCCTGAATGGTGCGATTCAACGCTGATATCAAGTTCTTAAAGAAACACGTCTTGATAGTTTATTTTTGTTTTTTTTAAGTCTGATTGGGTCAACTCTTGATGCAATATTTAAAGCCAGTAACAATTCTTTTACATTCGATTTTAAAATAATTTTACACTTTCACATTTCTTTTTGAAATAGTTTTACACTTTCACATTTGTTTTTTATTCACATCGATTCTAACATTTTTTTGAAAATTTACTCCTTTTAATAATAAATATCTTTAGAATTTTATGTCCTTAAGTTCTGAACATTCAACTGAACGGAATATTCAATTATTTATAAAAATAACCGCAAAAGCTAAAGCGTGAATTTTAAAAAGCTTTGATTTTTTTCCAGAAAAATTTTGATAAAATTAGAATTAAGTAGAGATAACTTTTTCATATTCGCTCCTTTGAACGTTCATAAAATTTAAAGGATGTCAATTTTTACTAATTGGAGTAATTTGTGTGCAGAATTTAAAATATTTTTCGTAAATTATAGTTTAACAGTAAATTCAATTTTACAGAATTTAATTATAGTTTAATAATTAATCTGCATGTTATTTGAATGTGTCTAAAATTTGAATCTTTCAAAAAAATGTTAATTTATAAATAATTCATAATGAAGAAGAAAAAAAACTATACTTTTGAGAGAAGTAAATTTTAAGACAACCTTTTTCTTTTATTGAGGTTTTATATTTTTTTTCTGTGATACCTAATAATTCCGTTGATCCAAGGCGTTGAATTACTTGTTTCATGATCGAAGTAATTTTATTAATGTAATAAAATCTTTTTTTTATTACAACTAACGTGGAGCTTCCGGGCTTCTGGCTTTTCTTTCTTGACAACAGTGCTGTGCGGAAAAAGTTTCCAAAACTTCTTCGACTGGTAAATAATATATTTTATTAATTATTAATTATTTATTGTTTGTTATTATTACTATTTTTGTTTAATTAAATATTTTAAATAATTCTTCAAGTTAATTAAAATATTTTCTGTTAAATTCAAAAGGACGGTGTAGAATTGCCAAGACCGATTTTATTCGATGTGGTTGACGAGGGTGTTAAATTGCCACCATCGCGGACAATTTTCATTGCCGATCCCAAGGCGCAAGAAATTGCAAATCAATTTTTGCAACAATATTTTGTCATATTTGACAGTGATAATCGACAGCCATTATTGGACGCTTATCACGAACACGCTTGTTTTAGTATGACTGTATCTTCTGCACTCAGTACCAACAAGTAAGATTTTAAGCATAAATATAATTTCTTCTTTCTTTTCTCATTGCACTTTAAAAAAATGTCTCCTTTATTTATTTTCAGATCGAATGCCTATTTCAGTGAGAATCGAAATTTATTCCGAATAAACGATCCCAATAGACGTCGAAAATTGATTAAAGTGGGAAAATTACCGGTTGTCTCGTTTATAACGACAATTCCGCGCACAAAACATGATTTAAATTCATTTACAATGGATCTCAGCTTCGTGATTGTAAGAAAAATTTGCTAATTTTTAAATCAGAAAATTTTAAGTTTTGAAAATTGTAGAATTTATTTTATTATTATTGAATTAAAATGAATGCTTTTAGGAAGGAATGATGCTCATTACGGTCACTGGCCTATTCAAGGAACTCGATACAAAGGACACTGCACTTCGTTTTTTCAACAGAACATTTGTGATTGTTCCCGAAGGCAGTGGCTATTGTATTCGTAATGAGCAATTATTCATTGCAAATCCAAGTGAACAACAAGAGAAACGGGCATTCACCACTCGCCCCGTTGAAATTGCTCCTCCTTCAGTACCATCGTCAAGTTCATCATACAGTGCTCCAAATGTGCCAAACATCACCGGTGAACCAATGGACGAAATTAAACAAAATATGACACTAAGTTTGAGTCAACAGACAAACATGAATGTTGAATGGAGTTTAAAGTGTTTAGCGGAAGTGCAGTGGAATTTCGATAATGCTCTTGCCGCTTTCCACGAATTTTACAATAGAGGACAAATACCACCAGAAGCATTTAAAAAATGAGCTGACTACAATAATTAAAAAATGCAATGCATTGTAAAAAAAAAGTGAATTTTTTTCAATTCTACTGAAAAACTATGTCTAGTTTTTTTCAGCCATGTTATTAAATCAATTTTGTTTTGTAAAAAGAGCATTGCTTTGCTCTTTCAAATTAAGTACAGCTTTTTTTTTCTTTTCTTTTTTTTTATTTCTTTACGACGTAAAATAGTTGATAATACTTTCCAGCGCAAATGGAAAGAAATTGCTTTGTGAATATTGTGCGCAAAAAAAATAGTTTTTGATGATTTGTATATAAAAAAAATATGTACATGTAAAAGTAGAATATATAGACTACAGAGACATAAGTTCAAATTAAATCTTTTCATAAAACATATAGAAACTTAAAGATTGTGACGTCGCTCGTTTTGCATGTAAATTAATTTACATTTTTCAAAAATTGTGAAATAAAAAAATGTAATAATCATTACATTTTAGTAACTTTAGCGTTTAATTATAAAATTCAATTAAAAACGAGATATAATTTTAATTTCATGAAAAGAAGAAAGAAAACTTTTTAATTATATGTAAAGGACTAATATCTTAATTTAATTTTAACATATGAAATGCTTTTAAAATTGTCCAACTGTTCTTCAATTTGAAAACATTCAACATAAAGAATTCGAGTAATTATCATAGAACATTACAAAAAAATGTTAGTAAAACGATTTGTGTAAAAAATTCAAATTGAATGTTTTCAAGTGAAATGAATATGACGATTAAAATTTTAAATTAAACATTACTACCTTTGTTAGCTGACACTTTCAAATTCGAATATCTTCGAAGGAAAACAGTTTATTTAATATTGTGTCTGAATTTGTTGACACAAAATATTGTAAATCTTGATTGAAATAATTTTTCTCTTAAAATTGTCGACATTGAAAGTGAAGCTTGAACTCTTTTTTTTTACATTATTTTTAAAAGTAATAGAAAATTTTTGTTTTTAAGTGCAATCTAAGCGATCAATAGAAAGAAACTTTAATTACTTAATATAATAAAAGGTCAATTTTCAATTGCAATACATTTTCATGCATCGGATAAGAAAAAAAAAATTTGTATTTCATATTTATCATATCATCGAATAATAATATTCGTTTCGCACAAGATTTATGTCTTAATAGTTATAATGTAGTAGCTAAAAAAGATGTTCGAAACTGATTTTTATTGTTACTCTGAAAAGTTTTTGAATGTCGTCTAAAAAATAGAATATATTGAAAAATTTGTTCAAATATTCTGTAATTCAAAAAATGAGACTTCTTATAATTTGTTATCAATTTAATATTTATGGAATTTGTTCATTATATTCCAAATTTCATCGCAGCACATGATTTTAAATTATTTTAAACTGTCAGTGAAAATTTATTTTTATTTCGTAAAATATTGTTTTTGTAGTGTATTTGAAAAAAAAAATAGTGAAGACCAAAAAATTGGGATGGGAAAAAATTGAAATGAAAAAAGATTCCAAAGAGATGTGAAATTGAATTCGTTCATTTTTTGTCTCAAATCCCAAAGTTGTTGGTGAATTTTGTGTCTTGTTTTTTGCAAGACTGTGACTCACACGAGTGCACAATTGAAATTTTGTCCCGTTGATATCTATCTTCGGGACATTTACTAAAAGAAAAGAACACTTAAGGGTTAATCCCTTTTAATGTGAACTTCTTGATGTTTCGTGAGTTTGCTCTTTCTGCAGAGTGGAACTTACATCATTTTATGATGATCACCTATACAACAAAAGGATGTAGAACATAAACAAATGAAACGAACTTTCAATTTCCTCAATTATTTAAATCTTTTTAAAGGATTAACAGAGAAAAAAAATTTGATTTTGAAAAGAATTTTTGGTTTTAAAAAAAAATTAAAACAAGTGTTAATAATAAAAAATTTTTAAAGTTTATAATAATTTATCTTCTTGTGCTGCTGGAAATTTTAATTTCTCATTTAACTAATTCATTTTTGTACAACATTCTCAAGAATATTCTTTTAAAAACATACATATTATAAATTTTACATAAAATAATAAAAAGAAGAAGAAGAAGGAAAAATTATCTGTTGGAAAATATAACTTCAGTGTTCCGATTACTGACTTATCTTTTATAATGTGATTTTTTGATTAAAAAAATGTAAATAAAAACTTGTGTATGTATGATACAAAATGCGTGAAAAGTCTATTTTCATCAAAAAAAGAAAAAAAAGTAAATAAATAAATAAAAACTGGAAACTGAGTATTCTTTTTTACATTTAAAATCTAATATATTTATTAAATTATATTAAACTTATTCGTTTTAAATATTTGGGGACATGCAAAAAATACAAGACTAATTATTGAATAATTTTAAAATGTATTTTCTAGTTAAATTTTAATAAAAATTTTCAAAATGTTTCTCCAATTATAAATTATTGTAAATTTTTGTAACTATATAAAGACGTTTCAATTTACATTTATATAAATTACTAATTTTCTTGTGTATTAACATTTGAGAGCGAGAAAAAAAACGGGTAAATTAATCTATTCTCAAAATATTACATGCGAAAGCGTTTGCAATTATATGAATTTTCAACTTATGACTTATTCTAATAGTGTATGATTTTTTTGTTTGAAATAACTCTCCAGAAATGTACGTTATTATAGTATTATTTACAATTATATCAATACCACTTAAATAAAGTTACATTGAAATATTTATTGCGAAAAAAAACAATAACCTATATAAAAACTAATTTAATTATAATTTTTTTTAACGAATATAAAACGAGTGTGTGGTGCAACATCAGTTGTATTTAAAATTTACAACGAAATACGTTCTTTTTCTTTTGCACCGCAAATTATGAAGAAAAAAAAATTAATAAATTCTAACAAAAAAAAAGAGGAAAAGCTATTTAAAAGAAATTTATGAGATTAAAGGAAACTCATAATACATCGATCGAAGGCAAGAACCTTGTAAGGTTCACAAAATTTCTTTCAAAGACGGCTACAAATTTTGTCAAAAGTAAGAATTTACTTTTTGTTTCACATGATCATTGGTCAAAGTCTATGTTGACTTTATAAATGTTTTAAGTGGAAAAGAAATTCATTTAATGTCCTATTATTCACCTTTTTTATTTTGGAAATTATATATTTGATTAGAATTTCCGTGGTCTCCCACAACGTCTAATGGCCGATAATCTACTTCCTTTGTCTTGTAAGTTCATCAAATTTCTAGATTCTTCAGACTTAAAGTTCCTTTCAACTTTGGTGTGCAGTTTTTTATGTTTCATGTACATTAATTGGGACTTGAAGAATTTATGACAAATCGGACATTCGTAAATATCTCTGGCTGCAACAAAAAAGAATATGGAAATATTAATAACTATTTTTATCATTATTACTATGAAAATTACAAATTTTTTTCTTTCAAAATATGAATTTCAATTTTTGAATAATTTCAGATGTAAAATTTTTTTAAATTTACTTATTAACAAATTAGCCAATTTATAATTATTACTATTTATTATTTCTAAAAATTTTAATAAAATTCTTTGCAAGAATTTAATTATTTTCGTAAATAGCAAAATTATTCAAACAAATTCAACTACATTTCAATACAATTTTCTTAAAATTGAATTCTTTCGAGAAATAATTCAATTATTTTCATAATTAAAAATAAATTTCTTCACATGAATTTAATTATTTACAGTAAAATTTTTATAAAATTTCTCCAAAGAATTCAATTATTTTCAAAATAATTTTAATTAAATTCCTTAAAAGATTAATTTTATGATTTTCCAAAATTTTTAAAAACCTCTTAAAAATATAATTATTTTTTAAAATTTTAATAAAATTCTTTAAAACAATTCAATTATTATTATTTTTATAAATAACAAAATTCTTCTCAGGAATTCAATTATTTTCAATACAATAAATTTTAATAAAATTCTTCGAAACAATTTAATTATTTTCAATAAAATTTTAATTTTTTTTAAATTTCTCGAAAGGATTCAATTATTTTCTTAATAAATAATAAATTTCTTTGCATGAATTCATGTATTTTCAGTAGAATTTTTATAAAATTTCTCCAAAGAATTCAATTATTTTCAAAAATTGTAATAAAAGTCTGGAAAAAATTCAATTATTTCCAAAAATTTGTCACAAAATTCTATAATCAAATTTTTAATTACAATTATTAATATACACGATTATTTTTAAAAGTTGAAATAAAATCATTGTAAACTTTAATAATTTTCATAATTTTTAATTAAAATTATTAAAAGAAACTATTATTTTCAAAATACTTAAAGAAATTCTGAAAAAGAATTTAATTATTTACGAAAAATTTATTAAAATTGTATTTGAAAATAATTGAATTCTTGGAAAGAATTTTAGTATTTTAAAAAATGGCAAAATAAATTTTTCATAAATAATAAAATTCTTTTCAAGAATTCAATAATTTTCAAATACAATTTTAATGAAATTTTTAGAAAGAATTCAATTGTTTTAAAAAATTTTGATGAAATTATTCGAAAAATTCAGTTATTTTCAAAGTTTTTGATTAAATTCCTCTTAAGAATTTAAATATTCTCAATAGAATAATTTTTAAAATTCATAACATTTAAAACGAAAAATTATTTTAAAAATTAGGAAACAAAAATATATTTTTTAATTAATGTATAGAAATTAAAAAAAAATGTTAGTATAAGATAATTTTAAATACATACCAATTCGTCTTTTTGTAAAATGCTGTAAAATATGATTTTCATGTGCGGAAGCGCTAGGAAGCCATCGATTGCATATTGTACAGATTAAATCGGCGAATTTCCATTTTCTGTGTAATCGAGCAATTAATTTCCTTTTATTGGCTAATCTCGCCAATTTTGATTGACTGACAGTACTTAATTGCTCTGTTGTATTGGGTTCTGAAGTTTGTTCCGTCGACTCGTCAATTCTTGGAGGATTTTCTTTTTTCTCGTCATTCTCTTCTTTCTCTTCATTCACTTCTTTCTCTTCTTCCTTTTCTTTTACTTTTTCTGTTGCTTTTTCTTTTTCCTTTTCTTTCACTTTTTCTGTTGCTTTTTCTTTTTCCTTTTCTTTCACTTTTTCTGTTGCTTTTTCTTTTTCCTTTTCTTTCACTTTTTCTGTTGCTTTTTCTTTTTCCTTTTCTTTTACTTTTTCTGTTGCTTTTTCTTTTTCCTTTTCTTTCACCTTTTCTTTCACTTTTTCTGTTGCTTTTTCTTTTTCCTTTTCTTTTACTTCTTCTGCTTCTACTTCCTTATGTACTTGCTCCTTTTCTGATTCCAATTTCTTCGGAACAATCACTTCCTCGACATCTCTCTCCAATTCTTCAAGCACTTTTTCCAATTCGTCGACCTCCTTCTCTGACTCGACATCATCTTCATCCACGTCGTCATCGTCGTTGTCGTCATCATCATCGTAGACATTTTTCTTCATTTTATATCGCAATTTCTCATCAGCATTCTTCCTCTCGAGATTTTTTATTCTATTTATTTCAATTTGCATTTGTAATTTTTTCGCGTCTGCCTTACTTGGTCGGCCACGTTTTCGTGGCGTGTGTTCAGCGCGCACGTGACGCGCCAATGTTACAACCATATCGAATTTCTCCTCACACGTCTTACAAGTGTATTCCTTTTTGGGTTTGGAACTTTTGTCTTTTGAATTCTTCTTCGTCATTTTCTTTTCCCTTGGACTCTCATCATCGGTGGACGATTCATCTTCCATGTATCTGTCACTCAATCGATGTGATCTGCCTCTATATTTGCTACATACTCTTTTATGAGAATCAAATGTACGCGTGTACTTAAATATCTTTAAACAATGTTTACATTTCAGTGTATTCGATTCGTCATCGTATTCGTAATCATCATTCTCTTCATCCTCGTCGATATCATCATCTTCGTTGTCATCGTCATCCTCATCATCCTCATCGGAATCACCAACCATTATAATTTCATTTTCCTTATCACTCGAACCCTTCTCTTTGTTTTCATCGAGGGTAATTTCCAAAATTTCCTTTCTCCTTGGTGGCTCGTCAGAATCCGAATCATCGACATCAATGTCTATTATTTCCACGCGTGTACGTCGTCGTCTTGTGCTTTTCCTCGTTGGTAATTTTGATATTTTTGCATTCTTCTTTTTTCGTTTACCCCTCTTTCTAGGCATTGGTATTTCTTCCTCCTCCTCTAGCATGGAAGCTGGTTGTATTATTATTTCCGTATCCTCTCGATTTACAGATGTTAATTGCTGTTTTCTTGGTCGTTTTACTTTCAATTGAGAATTTGTATTTGTTATACTGTCGGATAATGAGATATTCACTGAGGTATTTGGCGTGTAATAATCAGACATTGGTGAAAGTTCACGTTTAATTCCATGATTTTGCTTCGAACCGATAATTGATGTATTAGATATGTGAGATCGTTTTACAGGACTCTGTGGTTTTGGTGATGGTTCTATTTTTATAGAATTCGGATAATATGAACCACGATAACTGGGGTTGCATATTGTTGACGGCGATGCCAAGTATACTAAACCGTTATTTGTTTTCTTTTGTGCTGATGGTTTCTCTATGGGAATATTTTTATAATGTTTCCTTGAATCACTTGTTTTGAATTCTTGAAGAGTGGCTTGAATTTCGTCAAACGTTAATTCTGTATCGGATTGATCACCATCGCAGAGAATATATTGTACTGTTGATTGTTCAACAAGTTCTTCTTCACTTCCCGAATCGTCGAGACGAATAATTTTCGACTTAGGTTGACCTAAAATTAAGTATTTATAGAATTAGAAAAGAATTGATTACATATTAGTACATAAAAAATTAAAAGAGAGAATTTTCCCTTTTTTAAAGTAAGTATTTTTATACTTACTTTCAATCACAGGTTTCACGAAATTAGGTGTCGCTTTTGTTTTTTTATTGTCAACAATTCTATGTTTTATGGGTTCTATGGGAATTTCGGGTTTTTTAATAACATCTCCGGTTATTTCCTCCTTGGGTATAAAAACTGGAGGTTGGGTGGTTACAAGTTGCCTTTTTATTTGTGTTGGTTTCTTCACAGTCCTCACGGCACCTTCTCTTATTAATCTTTCAACATCAGATCTGTAAATTGAATTTTTAGAATAAAATATTCAGAAATTTTGAAATAATTTCGTGAGTTCAAAGAAAAAATTAAAAACACTTGCTTCATAAGAAATTGAAAATTTGATGGTGGCTCTCCGGATTCATCATAAACCGCAACAGCAAAATAATCGTCAGAATCTTCAACAGCATAAAGGGCTAATTGTTGACCAGATGCTGTAACGAACATGGCAATAGTTTCCTCTTCATCTTCTTCTTCCTCATCTCCTTCCGTTTTTTCAATAACAAATTCAGTTCTCTCATCTTCACTATCAATTTCATCCTATTTAAAAGAAATTTGAAGGAAAATTACTTTTAAAATCAAAATTTGCATTTAAAATAATATGCTAATCATTTTTTTTTTAATCACCAAAGATCTTGCTGCAACTTCAGCCTCCGCTGCCCATTCTTGTTTAATTCCAATAAGAACTGATTCTGAATTTTTAGTTGGACTTGTTTTTTCAACTTCATATTCGGTTCTTTCATCAAATATGTCTAAATTACTTTCTTTTTTTATAATATGAATTTTCTGATTAATTTCAATCTCCTCTTCCATGACCTATTAAAAACATTTATTACTTTTTCCATTCGCAAATATTACATATTCTAGAATTTAATAATTCAAATATTTATTTTTAATATTTTTTACTAAAAATAAAATTTACATTATAAATGCCAAATAATTTATGTTCAACTTACAGTTTCTTCGAAAGTATTTCCTTCTCCGTCTGTTAGAATATCCGGAGAAATAATATTATTGTCTTCATATGACATTTTTAAAGTCGTCTTGTTATTTATTTCACTATTTTCAGAATCAATTATAAATGAATAGAATGTGAAATAGTTTTAAACAAGACATAAATAATGTCAATCTTGCAAAAATTAAATTTTCCATTTAACAAAAAAAATGAACATATTGATAATTGAAAATAAATGACATTTGCAAATAATTGACAAATGCAAATTAATACATTTACATTCTATTTAAAGCATTATTTTGTAAATGCTTTTTTATTGTATATTTGATGTTCAAATGAGGTTATGATGTAGGAAAAATTGCAAAATCCGTATAAAAAAAAATTTTTTGATATAGAACACCTATAAATATCTTGATTTAAACTTAATGAGGCTAATGCTCAATAAGTCTAAGAACACTTGTCCGATGCACTTTTATTTTTATCACACAAATGAAAAATCCCACGAAAAGCAAGCAACATCTTTTCTTTTTCCAAAACAACGATTACTCGCTGCTGCTGTTGCGTTCATTCGATACCAAAATGCAGAACTAGAAGGCTTCTTATGCCATTGCAACATGGAATATTGTCCAATCGATTACTGGTTACAACGGAAAGTTTCTATTTCATTGGTCATTCATTCTTTCCATTTGACGTCATATTTATCTTTCAGCTAATCATTCTACGGAAATATAATTTCTAAATGGTCGAAATTTCTCATAGTAACGAAGAAGATACACTTTGTCCACCAATGGAAATTTGTATCCATTTTAATGATTTTGATGTTTTTTTTCAAAAATTTATTTTAATATTATATTAAATCTAAGAAAAAACTTAGATATTTTTCTGAAATGTTAATAATTATTTAATTATTTAAGATCTCACTTTACAAGAAGTATTTTTTTTCTTTAAAATCCCGCCAAATGCGCCAGAGTAATTCTATGCGATAAATCAAAATTCGGCTTCTTGTAACCTAACCTAAAAATTTTTGTATATTTCCTTCAATTTAGACATTGATAGTTTCTACTTTCTATAAATAAGTAAACAAGGAATTGTAATAAAAATGATAAAATAATAAATGAATGAATGAAGGTAGAAATATAGAGAAATTATAAACTTTGTTAAAATTAGAAAATTTTAATAAGTAAAAGATATCGATCATTCTAAACCTTTCTAAACCAACAAACAAATCAGTCAATTTAAAATTATCTTTTTTCTATAAATAATTCGGACAAAATTGACCTTTATAAATTATTCGTATTGTTATTTATTGTTTTTAATTTAATGCTTTGTTATCCAGTGAAAAAAGAAACTTGCAGAAAGTTTCTTGTTATTAGTGAAACGTCAAAATTCTTACAATGACAGTTCGTGTGTGGTCTGTTTGATTATAAAACTAATTATTCAAGAAAGTACAGAATCAATTTTCTAAGTTAAACGATTGTTAAATAGTTGCAAAGAAATGAATCATAATGAACATACGGGATCAAGTGATCTATATTCTTCAAAATAGTGCCATATAATTAATAATTTTCGAAGAAACAGGAGAGGAAAGGAAAAAATATGATTCGTTACGTTTGGTCAATAATTTGTTGGTATTTTAGATCGTTTGTAAAATGGATTTTACGTTTTACAACAAGAATGTGTGAGTTGCAAAGAATTTGCTATGGTGAACCATCTGGAGCACAACGAACGCTCGCTGTTGAGCGATCACTTCGACAGTCGAAAAATCCAAATATTAAATCTCTTGTTGCCCATTTAGATGAAATTGCCGATCAACAAGCAATTAGTATTAAAACGGAACGTGAAATTCTAGAAGAAGCGATAAAAACCGTTCTTAATGCTAAAGATATTAATCCATTTGCTCATCCGAAATTTGCTAAATTGTTTGCCAAATGTGTTGAATCTATTTGGGGATATAGACAATTGGCTGTCAAGTGTGAAGAGCTTAGAAAAACACAGTACGATCCAGAGAATCCAGATCATGAAATGCTTTTATTAAACCTTTGGAAATTATTAATGCCATATGAACCTCTCGATGCTAGAGTAACAAAACAGTGGCAGGTAAGTAGACAAAAAAATTCTTTTTTATTTCAATATAATTTTTTTATATTAAAAAAAATTTAATTACAGGACATTGGGTTCCAAGGCGACGATCCAAAGACAGATTTTCGTGGAATGGGAATTTTGGGTTTGGAGAATCTGGTTTATTTTGCAAGGGAATATCCAAGTGCAGCTAGTCATGTTTTGTCACATTCGACTCATCCTCGTTATGGTTACGCTTTCGCCATTGTGGGAATAAATCTTACAAGTATGGCTCTTAGACTGCTACGCGATGGATCAGCGAAAACACATATTTACAATTCGTGTAAAACACTGCCGACTGTTTATGCCTTTCATCAATTTTATAGCTACCTTTTTTATGAATTTGACGGATTCTGGATAGAATCGAAGCCCAGTAATATGATGGAATTTTCATCGATTCAAGTGAAATTTGAAAACACCATTAGAATGGCCTTGGCAAATCCAACTACGATATTTAGGATAAATGTATCGGTTGACAATATTTAGTATAAAAGAAATCGTTAGTTTTTTTTATTTAATTTTTGAATTAATGAGAAATTGATCTTTTTTTTATTAAGATATATCAAATTTTAATAGTTTAATAACTAAATTTCAAAATTTTAAAATACTGAAATGTTTATTATAAAAAGATTTTAGTTATTGATCTCACTGAGATGAAAGTCATTTTATTTAAAAATATGTAATTTATTTTATTTAGTAAACACAGTTTTTTGTGTGAAGTTGATTTTAATATAAATTAATTTCAATCAATTTTTTTTTAGTTTTTTTATAGATAAAGCGCAACATTGAATTTTTATGTATTTCGCACATAAGCCATTGTCTTGTGATTTATACAATTTATACCATTGCACTAGCAGAAGTACAACTTACATTTTATTTTTTCAATAAAACTGATTTATCATCAGTTTGTCACATTGCCATATATATCTCTTTGTATCATTCCTAGAGCACGATTTTACGTACGATTTTTAACCGAAATTTTAGATAATTATTAATTGAATTAATAATTTCGTTTTATTTGTCTTATTTTATTTTGATTGAAATCTTTAGTACAACGACGACAAAATTTAGAAAATATAAAAGCCTAATGAAGCTAATTAGAAATAATTTATAAAAATATTGGACGTTTTTTCAGTTTTATTTTCATACATTCCTCTTTTACAATAAATTTATAAAAAAATAGCACCAATTGAAATATTTAAAATATAAATGTTTATTGAAAGAAAATTATTCAGACACCTTAATTATGCGTTTTGTAATTAATCTAGTATAAAAGGAGGGTATTATCTAAAACAATATTTGTCAATATGAATGTAAAAAATCTTTTTAAGTTCAATGTGTACATATATACATGCTTCATTTGCGAAAAATAAATTTTATTTAGCCTTCTTTTGTGGAACTTCGGCTTTTCTCCTTAATTTCGATGCCACTGAGACAATTACAACTACACCAATAGTTATGCTTCCGAGCTTCATTATCCATGGATTTTCACGCAAGGCATTTGCGATCATTTGCGTAAAATCGTCGCTGAAATTTTAATTCACAATTATTATAATAAGAATAGGAATAAATTGTGTGTGTTTTCATTATTACAATTTTTGTTTCGAGGCTACAATAAATGTTTTTCTTGTTAATTAATTTATTTATTACCTAAACACCAGATTTTTACTTCTGAAACTTCGAATTTATTAATAATAAATTTGAAAATACTTACAAAGGACTTTGAGGCACCGGAACTTTTTCAATTCGGGCATTTCTGTACCAGTCTCTCGCGAATGATACGAAAGAATTGACATCATATTTTGGAATTTGATATCGGTACATTTTACCTTGTCGGAAGCTGAAAAAATATTTCAAAAATATGAATTTAAATTGAGTTTGAAAAGAATTTTGAAAATTAAACTGTGAGGCATTTGAACATACAATATGAATTCCGGAACTTCAAAAACATTGAATCTTCGAGCAGTGGAAGCGCCAGTTGTGTGTTTATTCATTCGGGCAACATTAACTCGTTGTTTTATTTTCGAACCCACTGCTTCCCATCTGGCACCCATTCTCTGGCATTCTATACAATCTGCACTGTAACTGTTAAACAATAATAGTAATAATAATAAATAAAAACGAATATCATACTTAAAATTCAGTTTCTTGTGGGAATACTCACAACATGATGAACCAATCGCCGGTAGTTGCTCCACTACTGGCTTGAGTTAAATGCTCAAAAGTTTCATCAGTCAATTCCTTGACGATAGGCTTTTGATTATCAATAAAAGTTCTTAAAATTTCTTCACCATCCAAAGGACCTGAGGAATAAATTCCAGTTAAATAATAGAATAAAATGTTAGATGTTAAAATAAAATGATAAATAAAAAGAATAAGAATTTAGATTTTTCTTTTAGAAAAGAAAGAAGAATTTAGATAAATTAATCGTTATTTTAATTGAAACATGTTGAAAACATACCATCGTATAAAAGAGGATTTCCATTTCTAAAGTAAACTAAAGCGGGTTCCTTATTAGGACTATAAAGTCGGAGTAGTTGACTATTTACAACTTTTACAACCCATGCTGACAATGAATCGACGAGATCTTCTCTCACTTGAATCAATTCATTCTCCATATTTTCACAAGCATCACAGTCTTTTTTAGCTGAAAAATACAAATAGTTATTATAAATACGTCTTTCTTTTAAGTAAAATAATTATATTAACATTTTATTGTAGTAAATGTTAAGATTGAAGAGATCGTACGGAAATTTGAGGTTATAATAATAATAATTTTTTATAGTCGAAAATAAACTATTTTTCAAGAAAAATTTTGTCAAAAATGTTAATAAACTGAATAAAATTTAAGTCAACTTTCCATACGATTTTCAGAAAAGTTTCAAATAAAACAACATACTGAAAAGGGCAACAACAAAATTCTCATTTTTTATATGATTTAGGAGATCATCGTCGCTCACTAACTCGAGAGACGAACCAAAAACACCAGAAGAAATTGTTAATAATGAAAAAAGTAATATTCGTAACATTTTTAAAGAAAAATTAAAATTTTATTTTAAAAAAATACTATTTTTGCACTTTAGTCTTTTAGTTGATTTCACCGGCACGGTGAATTATTTACACGTCACCCTGAGGACCCTGAGTTATGTTTGGTTATGTTGGTAGAATTGTACCATCCCTGTTTACATTTATAAAGGACAATTCACAAAAATTGTATCAGTGAGTGCAAGAAGGAAAAATATATTTTCTCTCTTTGCAGAAAGTACATAAACTGCTTATGTGGAATGTACCTTTAGGTTGGAACTACCCAACCCTGTTGTTATTAAGAAAAAATTTATTGGAAAAACTGCGGGAAAAATACACCAGCAGGTAAGACGTTTTATGTAAAAAAATTAAATCACTCAACAAACGTATTTTTACCAGAAAAAAATATTTCATACACTGGTAATTATTATTTTATATCGAATTTTTCTATTTTTAAATAGAACAATAGTGCTGAAGTATTTCAAAAGTTATGATCATGTAACACGATTGGAGGTTAGGTTTTCAATAAATTCTGCTTCTGCATTAAATTTTTTCTTTAATTAAAAAACAAAATGTGAATATTTGTCAGTAAAATATAAAAATAAATTGAAACTTTAGAATTTTATGGTTTCTGAAATATTTTATTATTACACACTTTTGTTGAATATTTTCTGAATATGTGCAATCAGCGTATTCGCAGGTTGTGCAAAATAATTCAGCATGAAGATTCTCGTTAGATATTTGAAAATTCATAGTAACCAAATTTCTTTTACAATAATTTTATATGTGATAATGGAATAACGTTGAAAATATATAATAAATAGGGAAAATAATTTCTTTTTTTTTTAGAATTTAACGATGAATGTTTCTGGAGACGTTCAAGGCTCTTTAAAAGAGGCCTTGTACGAAACATTAAATGGTATATTATCTTCACATCAAGAAACTCGTCAAGCCGCTGAACAACGAATTCAGGCTTTAGAAGTCACTGAAGAATTTGGCGTTCATTTAACCGAATTTGTCGTCGATCAAAATGGTCTTCTTCCAATTCGTCAATTAGCTTCTGTTTTATTAAAACAATATGTTGACAATCATTGGTCGTCAGTCGCTGAAAAATTCAGGCCACCTGAAATTAAACACGAAATGAAAGAAAGAATAAAAGAATTACTACCACTTGGCCTTCGAGAGTCAATAAGCAAGGTATTTGTTTTTATTTTTTTCCAAAAATGTTTTATTATTTATTCTTTGTTTTCTTTTTTTAGGTGCGAACTGCCGTTGCTTATGCGATATCTGCAATAGCGCATTGGGATTGGCCCGAAAATTGGCCAGGTTTATTTGATATTCTCGTGAGTTGTTTAAATCGTGAAAATGAATACGCAGTTCATGGTGCAATGAGAGTTTTAACTGAATTCACAAGGGATTTGTCGGACACACATCTTCCAAATGTTGGTCCAATTATCCTTCAAGAAATGCTGAGAATAATTCAAAACGAAACTGTAAGTTTTTCAAATATTTCCGAACTCTGTTTATTTTAATAATAAAATTTAATTTTAATTTTCCACAGGAATATTCGATACGAATTCGAGGAAGAGCTGTACAAATATTTAAAATAATAACCGAATTAGTTGCAGCAATAAGACATTATAAGAAAAAGTTTTTCGAACAATATCTTCAACCTGTTATTCCCATGTTTTGTGAGAAATTTGTTCAATGCTTAAGACAACCGGATGGTCCAACAATTGACAGTGGATTGAAAACTGATATTATCAAAGCTTTAAATTGTCTTATTTCAAAATTACCGAAGTATGTGACAAATTTCTTGCCACAAATGTTGCCACCAATATGGGAAACGTTGACTCAAAGTGCAAAAATTTATCAAGAGGAAGTTGTGAACGGCGATGGAAATGTTAACGAAACAGTTGTTGATTCAGATGGTAAAGTTTTATTTATCACTAATAATTTAAAATAAAAAGGAAATAATAATAATAATAATTAAATAATAAGCAAAAATAGTGAAATATTTCAATCATTTAAAATTTTGATTACTTTCCAGGTGAAATAATTAATTTCAACAATCTAATTATCGCAACTTTTGACTTTATTGGCGCTTTAGTTGAAAACAAAAAATTCTCCAATCTTTTGGAAAATTTCCAGCAGGATATTATGTATTATTTAATTCTATTTATGCAAGTAACTGACGAGCAAATTGAACAATGGACCAGTAATCCAATACAATTTATCGAAGAAGATGAGCAAACTGTTTTCGCATATAATGTTCGAATATCGGCCCAAGAACTTCTAGTTGTAAATATTTTGCACTGAATTTAGTTAAAAAATAATAACAATTTTTTTAGTATTTTATTTTAGAATTTATTTACTTGAATGAAAAAATTGTTTTCTTTTTCAGACTTTAACAAATCACACAGCTATTAATTCACTGTGTAATGTTGTAACGAGACATGTGGAAGAATCAAACAGATTAAAATCAGCGAACAATGAAAACTGGTGGAAAATTCAGGAATCTTCTATAATTGCTTTAAGTCTAACCAAAGATTTTATAGTTGAACAACAAAAAGCCGGTGTCTTACACTTTGATATTGGACGTTTTCTCGTTGACGTTGTTCTTGCAACTCTTAACGATTCTGGTAAATAGAAATTTAATTTAAAATTACTCTTCATTCCCTACTATTTTCATTTCTTTTCGTTAATTTAATTAATTTTATTAAATTTCTTTTCATTTACATTCTTTATTATAATATTCATATTTCTATTATTTAGTAGTATTATTATTATTATTATTATATTTTATTCTATTAATTGTGTAGGTGCTCATCCTCTACTTTTGGGTCGTTGTCTTTGTCTTGGTGGGAAATTTGCAAAGGAAATGCAAGTGGAAATAAGTTCACAATTTTTACAAGCGACAGTTAATGGTTTACAGGAGAATCAACCAATTTGCATACGTATCAGTGCGGTGAAAGGAATTTATTCATTTTGCGAAGCCTCCTCTGAAAATGAAGCCATCAAAAGTTTAGTTTGCTCAAATTTACCAACTATATTTCAAGGTTTATTCAGTTTAGTCAGTCAACCATCGACAGAAGTTCTTACATTAGTTATGGAAACTTTATCGTCACTAATTCTGGTATGGTAATTAATTATTAGTTAAAAAAAAGAAATTCAATTTCAATTTTAGCATGAAAATAAAAAAACTTGATTTCCTAATTTTATGAAAAGTAATAAAAAGAATATTTAAGATAAAAAGTAAAAAGAAAAGTAAAAGAAATAAATAAGATAAAAGTATACAAATTTTTGAATTTATAGAAAATTTATCTTCTTTTTGCAGATAGACAAGAATTTCACAGCATCAGTTGAAAGTAAAGTGTGTCCATTTACAATTGCAGCTTTTCTCAAATTCCACAATGATCAAATAATATTGCCCGTGTGTCAGGATATTTTTAAAGCCTTGTCGCAAAATCCTGATTGTATCGAACCATTACATAATCGTTTAGTGCCGACTCTTGTCAGTATGATGTCCGTAAATCACGCCGACAAATCAAAAGATGGTGAATTATTAATTATAATTTCTATTCAAATGTTACTTCTATTTTCTATTTATTAATCTATTTAATATTCTTCTATTTTCCAGAACGTTCGCGAGAATTAGCTTTAGACGTTTTACAAGTATTGGTGCAATATTCTTCCCAACCATTAAGTAATGCATTAGTGGAGAATGCATTTTTTGCCGCATGCCATTGTATTTTGAATTCAGAGGAAAATGGAACTTTACAAAGTGGTAGTGAAGTGATATGCACATATCTCTCGGTAGCTGCACATCAAATAATTGATCGAAGAGATAATACGGGCGTCACTGGTCTGGAATATATACTTAAAACTTTGGCACAACTCTTAAATCCAAGGGTAAAAAAACTAATTCTTATATCTGGATTTTGTAATGATACAATAATTTTGTATTTACTTTTGTAATCATGCAGGAATAATTTTTTGCCTTTATATAAATATTTTTGTATTGTTATTAATTTTCATTTTGCAGTCGAGTGAATTTACAGCAGCGTTTGTTGGTCGATTAGTGACGACTCTAATAAGAAAAGCTGGAAATACTTTGGGTGAAAATCTCGATCTTCTATTGAAAGCAGTTCTCAGTAAAATGCAACGAACTGAAACTTTAACTGTTATGCAAAGTTTACTGATGGTCTATGCGCATTTAATTAATTCCGCTTTCGATCCAGTTCTTAATTTTTTGTCCACTGTACCTGGTCCAACAGGTCAGAGTGCTCTTGCATTTGTATTGATTGAATGGCTCAATAGACAGCATCTTTTCTTCGGCAATTATGACCGTAAAGTGGCGAACGTTGCTTTGAGCAAACTACTTGAATACGGTGTCACGAACGATGATGTGAGATTAAAAGAAATTACTGTTCAAGGCGAGGAAATTTACGCACGTTAGTTGTCTATTAAATTAAATATTTAATTACAAACATTTATTTCAATTATAATTGAAAAATAATTAGATTCTTAAATTTTTCAATTTCTGTATACGATTTTCAGAAACCGAAGGTGTAAAAACAAGAAAAAGGTCTCAATTACAACCAACAAATTGGACAACAATACCAGTGCTTGTTAAAATTTTTAAAGTTTTAATAAGTGAATTATCCAATGAAATCGAAAATGCATCTGCTGTAAATCAAAGTAGCGAGGTAAATAATTTTTTAAAAATGAAAATGTTAGTTTTTTATATAAAAGGACTTCTAATTAAAATACTGTTTATTTATTAAAAAATAATTTTAATGTAATATTTTCTTTTTTTTAAAAGCGTTTTTAATTATTTAAATTCCTTTTAAGGAATCTGAAGATGACTCAGACGGCGAGAATGCGATACTGGATCCTGGAAATGAGGCGAATATGTTAAGTAAGAATTACTTGATACCTTGTAATTTTTTTTTTCTTTTGTTGAACAAAAAAGATTTTAGTATATCAGTGTCAACTGTAATATCTACCCTAGTGGATTAGGCATCAATTTTTATCAAGTTCACAATTCTTTTTTCTTATCTACTTCTTATCACAAAGAACACACACTGATGTAATTTGAAGTCTCGACAATCGGAGCTACTCGTTTTTCTCTCTTTTTTCATTTTATTCACTGATTTCAATTTTGATAATTGTTATTTTTAGAAAAATTCTATCTAAAAATATTAGAAATTCTTTTTTATTTAACAAAAAATATAACTAAAATTTCTTTTATTATAAAGATCAATTAAAATTAAATTTTCAATTAATTTATTTCCAATGAAAAAATTAATTAAAAATTAAAATATTAATAGAAATGTATTAAATGTTACGTAATTTTTTCAGGACTCGAAGACTTTGAGGACGATGAGCAGGAAGAAGATCCAAATGTGGTTCAAGATTCAATATACCACTTGAATCTCGCGCAATATTTGAGGGATTTTCTATTAACATTTTCGACTCATCATTGTTTTCCAGCATTTGTACAACATTTGAATGAAAATGAACGAAAAGTTTTGACAAGTATCAACATAAATACAGCATTTTTGTAAGTGATTTTTTTTTTATACTTTTAACATTTTAATGAAAGGCCTTATTAAAGTAACTATTGTAATAATTAATTTTATTTTTTAACAAATAAGATTAAATTCTGTAGTTTTTTAATACGTGTCTATTATTTTTTTCTGCGATAAAAATGTAGCGTCATTTCGGTAAATTATATATATATATATATTTATTTATTTTCATCATTTTTTTTTGTTTTGATACACCCTGTTAGATCCGACAATTTTAAAGTTAGAAGGTTTTTTTTTAATCTTTTGTAATAAAAAGTACATAACTAATAATATATTTTTAATATACATATATAGTATAGGCTAAATAAGAAGTTAATGACACAATGAAAGAAAATTTTAATTATAAATCGAGGGAATGCACATCTAACTAATAGTTTTCAAGGATATATCATTTTTCTTTAATATACACATATATACAAAAATCTAAGTTTGTGCTCTCTGCTTGATTCTTTTCTTTTTACCAACAAACTATAAAACTCTACTTTATGTTTTATATCAAAATTATTTACAAGCTACGTATTAATGTTTATTTATGACGAAGCAATTTATAATTACGTTTCTAAAGAAATGCTTTTTTTCATGCAAAGAAAAATTATATTTTGATTGAGACTAGACTTTTTTAAAGTCGAGAGACAGTCCACAATTTTTTTTCGACGGGTTCTAATTACATTATTAGAACAAATATACGATTACTATAACACATATTCCAGTCATTTAGTTATTATTAATTTTTTTTTTTTTGATTTTTTTATGGCTTTTGCAAGTTTGCTTAATGTATACTTGTATGCATTAATACTGATTTTTTTTATACATTTCAATGTAGATGTATATATGTAAAAAAATGTGTTTTAAAAACATTTGAGATATATACAAACTTAATTATATATTATTATATATAACTAAAAATATTTTATCTTTAAAAAATAAGTAAAATTACTTTTTTTTGTTAATGTTAAATTTAAATCTAAGATTTAAATGAAAAAAAAGTAAAAATTGAAATCTGTTATACAGTCGTTACGGACAGGAGGCCCAATAGTTTCCCACTACTTCCAGGCGTGCCGGAAGTCATTTTACTTCCGTGCACCAACATTTCTTGAACTGTTGTGAAATCATCTAAAACAATTTTTTTCCTCGCCAATTTACGTTGACTTAGTTCGACAATATTTAATGGTTTCTTGGGCGATTTCTCGTCACAATCAAATATGAGTAAATCATTATTTTGCTGTGATTGTTGCTGTGAAATTAGTTCTTGTTGTTGTCGTTTACGTTCCCTGGCTTGTTCCAGTTGCTTTTTACGTTCTTCTTTACTCCAATATCGGCCGAGCTTTAAACAATTTTTAAAAATCAATTTTTCAGTAAAATTTTTAATAAATTATAATAATTAGAATAATTATTTCTGTTTTATGATCACAAATTTTGAAAAAATATTTCTCATAATTACAAATATGCACAAAAATTTGATTTTGTTTTTCCTTGATTTCCAGTCAGAATTTTGATTTTTTCCATGACTAAACAATATTTTAATTCACTCTAAAAATTATTGCAAAAAAAAGATTGCAAAACATTTATTTCTAAATATCTTTAATTGTAAATTTATTCGAAACATCAAAATTGTTTTTAGATAAATATTTAATCATCATTATTATTATTATTATTATTTCACAGAAATTATATTAAATTAAAACTTTAAATTTCGAACCCTTTGAAATTCGATAATCTATAAAAATTGCTGCAGTAACTTCTGGAAAATAATTTTCAAGATTTCAATTAAATTATTTTCTAGAATTTTTAACTAAAATTGTTAAATTTGAATTCAAATTTTCTAAACCTTCAATTTGAAACATTGATTTGTAATTAAATTAAACGCAAATCCACTAAATTCAAATTATTTTTAGAATTTTTAAGTAAAATTATTTTCTAAATAATTTTTAAGTAATATTTTATGATTGTTCTTCAAAAATTAAATTATTTAAAATAAAATTAATTTCATATTCTTTAAAGTTCAATTATTATTATTCATGATTTCAAAGTTTATAAAGACAAACAAAAAATTCAAGAAGAATTAAATAAATCTTTTTAATATTCTCACAGACTGCTGGACTCCAAAATTCAGAATTTTCTTATCAATTCTAGAAATTTTAATATTTTTCCCGTACTTTTGATAAAATCCCCTGATTTCCCTGACACGTGTCAATCCTGATACTGAGCAACTTTTTATATATTTTTTTTAAAGGAATACTTTAAAATAAATTAAATTTGATTTTAGAAGAAAAATAGAAATGCATAAAATGCAATTAAATTTGAATTAAAATCTAATTACGCGATTCAAATAAAATTGAAGATTAATCAAATTGATTTCAAATTTAATTAAATTTAAATTGGAATCAAATTGAAAGTGAACAAAATTTGAATTGAATTTCAAATGAAATTGAATTAAAATTGGATTGAAGTCTAATATTGGAATAGTCTTTTAATAGATAAATTTTCTTTTAATAGATGAATTTCTTTTTGATAAAAAAAATTAAATTCAATTGTTAAATTTTTCGGGAAAATGAAAAAGAAAGTACCTTAATTTCCGAGATGGTATCATCCTCAGTAGTATTACCAGCGCGTTCCTCAGAAATTTTGAGTGCCCGATTTTTCAGTCTTCGACTACGCACCGGTCTGCGTGCAATATAACGTGTACCATCGGCTCGTCTCTTAACTTTCCATTCCATTTGTATTTCACATTTGTCCTCAGGTGGTATCCACGCATTAACCGCGCACACTTGTTGACTGCCAATAAATTGATATTGCGATAAGCTAGGCGCTTGAAAGTGTCTCTGTGATTTGGATTTTTTCCCCGAACTTGCATCTTTGGTGGCATTATTTTTCTTTGTCAGCGCCTCCTTAAATAGCTGCTGTTGAAATATCATCGTTTGCTGTAGATTCGCAACATTTGTGTACATTGTATCGGCGAGTAGTGTGCTTGTACTGGAATTATCACGATCGTACTGGCAGTGTAGGGGACTTTTTTTATTAAATTGATTATTCGATTTTTTTACACTCGGACAGGTGCAAGTATTTTTTGATTGTAAAGTTTTCGATGAGCATAATACCAGAGTGCTTTTGTGATGATCCTTCTCGGCTTGGTGTAATTGTAATGTTAATGGATTGCTGTGACACGATTCACCGGTATTGTATGCACTTGAACTGTCTTTTTCCTCGCCGGAACTGTTGCTTTTTGATGATGAAAGGATTGGTTTTTGATTTTGTTGTTTCTTTTGTTGTAACCAATTTTGATGCTCGTAGGGAAATGAATAGAGTGGCTCGGTGTCTGATTCGGGAATTGTTTCGTAAATGTGTTCATTGTCGCTCCAAATATGACTCGAGTAGGAGTCCATTAATTTCACTTCACGATCGTGGATGAATTGGGGATAAATATTTAGGTTTTCCATTTTTTTCGTGGTTTCGATTAATGAATCCTGGAGTCGTTGTTTCTGTTCGTCGAAATGTGATGGTGATTTATTGGGTTTGTGGGAATTTTGTGAAGTGTTGTTTAAAGTATGCGATGGCACTGGTGGTGGTGCTATTGAAGTCGAACACTTTTCTTCGGTATCGTAGCAACCTTTTTCAATTTGTTGATGTTGTTGGTGTCGAATTAGTTGTTCGATCATTGTATTCTGATAAGCTGGAACATGTTCGGGTGAATCTGACACTGAACTCTGAAATTACAATTTTATTTATTTTAATTCCTAATTTGGCAGAAATCAGAGAAGAGGAAAATGAAGATTGATACCTGATAGAGATTACGACTGACGAGAATCGTAACAGCATTTTTAGTCTCGGCGAACAAATTTAATGTCTGCTCCTTATTTATCACATCCTTTCCATTCACCTGTTTAATTTATTTAATTAAATACTTTCTTTTCCACAATTATTGCTTTTTACTAAAAAAAAATCTTTTTACTAAATTAGGGAAATTTTTTTAAGTACCTGCAATAGTTGATCTCCTTCTCTCAGACGACCGTCTCGAGCGGCGAGACTTTCGGGAATTATCTCTGAAATATAAACCTCTGTATCAGCATCATCACTCCCAGAAGCGGAACTATAGCAAACTGTCAATCCGAGTTTTTCATCACATTCGTTTTTCTCCAAAGTTACTTCCTGCAAAGAGTTAATTTTATTAAATAATTAATTTACAAGTCTAACAAAAAAATGTAAGAAATAAGAGAAGAAAATTACCTCGAAATCAATGTCGTGAGTCAGGAAATCATGCACTTGTTCCTCTGCACCTACAGAGTCTGGTAGATAATCTTCTTCAATTAATCCCGACCAATCGGTTTGCACAGCTGTTGACACTAATGCACCAGTTTCGTAATCATTTTTCTCCTCATTTATCTGCATATCGTTAACAAAACTATCATCATCGTCAGACGCAGCTGTCACTTTATTCTTATCATGTTTATTGTAATCTGTTTTGTCTTCATTATTCGAGGAGATAAGTTCACTGGGATGTCGACGTAGAACTTCAACAATAATAGGTTCCTCGGCCAATTGAAAACAACGTATTGCATCTTCATGACTCGAAGTCGACACATCCTGCCCATTCACCTAAAATAAAAATTCCTCTTTTATTCCCAAAATTAAAAAATTTCTCTTTTATTCCCAAAATTAAAAAATTATCCAATAATTTCCAGAATTAAAATAAAATCGCAATATTTATTCGTCTAAAGTTCAAAATCAGTTGAGAAAAAAAGCAATAAAAAATGATAAAAAAAGAAATAATAACAGAAAGAAAAATGTGTGGAAGCTATTCTGTCATTTCACACTAAAATTATGACTTGAGGTTTCTTTTCTTTTTTTATTTTTAATATCACACATTGGGCATTCCTTGATTTGACGTGCTCTAGATAAAACAAATAAAAGAGACGGGACAGTTTATAAAAGACAAGAAAGTCAGTAGGGAGGAAGTGGCAAAGAGAAGCGCAGTGAAATAAGTTTCTCTATTTCTAAAGCCAGGCGGATTGTAGGCAAAACGGCTTTTTAAAAGGAGAGCAATAAAGGTAGCTGAGCAAATACTAACTTGTCTACACAATATTATCGCACGACAGGGATCTAAATCTAAACTATCCCGCACACTACCATTCTATTTAAATAAAAAAAAAAAAAAAAAGTACAAAGTTGTCATTTGTTCCTATTTATGTAAATAAAGCGAAAACACTTTTCAAGTTCATCGCTAAAATTTTCCTATACTCTCAATTTTTGATTATTTATATTATATTATTTTAATTTTTATTATATATTTATTATTTATTATATTTTTACCATTTTCTTATATTAATTCATCTATTTTTTTACAAGTATTTATGATTAATTTTATACCCTCAAAATATTAAATATATTCGATAATTGCAATAATAAACAAAAAGATAAGAGCAACAAAGAAAGAAACAAACAAAGAGAAATTAACAATTAGAATATAAATTATAGTAAAAAAATACTCGAAAGATTATAAACAATAAGTTTTGTTTCAACTGGAGCTAGAAAAAAAAAATTCCAAAATATTTCAGCTCTAAAAATATGAGACGAGACAATATTTAGATTTCATATTCTATTCTCTAATTCGTTTGACAAATTTATTATTATTGATAACTTCCTTCCGGAACATTAAAAATTTGTTTACTTATTATCTTATTATAATAAACGAGAGGCAATGGTAAGAAAAAATCCCCCCTACGGATTTTGATGGGATACGCCACGGAGAAAATTATTTGAAGGTTATAATATTAATATTTTAACCCTTTAACTATACACAGAAACAAACGTATCTAAATGTCAAAAACATTTTTTTCCAACCAAAATAACAAACATAAACATAAAATATAAAGAAAACTAATAATTTCTTTGATTTACCTTTAATATGATGAAGTCCATGTCGCGTCTAAATCCCTTCAACTCCGAATTTTAAGAATTATAACAATAAAATGAATGAAATTCAACAATCGACACTATTGTCACTGAGCGTTCCAGTTAAAAGATAAATTTAGAATAATTATTGAGAATCACATTACTCGCACTTTTATGTGTATAAAAAAGAAATTATCACTTTTTTTTTTAAAATTCTATTTTTATATTTTTGTAGCTATACTATACTGTTTATTAGATATCGGCGATCCACAGTATATAGGATTTAGTTTTGAAATAATGAAAAAGTTACAAAATTACATATAATTTTCTTATTATAAATGTAAATTTGTTTAAATTTACTATTGTAATTAGCACGTTTGATAGGTCTTTGACTTCTACTCCTACTACTGACGGCTCCTGTGCCTTCTACTCTCGCCTACTGTAAAATCACTGAATACTGAATACTGAAAATCCAACAAATACAATACCCCATGATCCAAGTAACAAGGTCTCGCCAAAGTCGGGCTCAATTTTAACTCGGTTCGCGCACCATAAAAAAGCCGACCAATCATAGCGATTACCTGAAGCGACGACCATATTGAAGCGCTAAATTTTGAATCAAATACAGAAACAAATTTAAAGAACATAAAGAATAATAAATTAAAAGTAAAATAATTCTTTATTAAATATTAATATTTTTTATTAAATACTTATTATTAACTTGATACATAACATTCACATATATTTATTTATATATTTAAAAACATTACATTTATCTCTAATGCTGCAAGAACTGAAGGGACAATTTCTTTTCAATTTTCAGTGGATAAATGATGAGATAAATTTTGAGCCAGATTAACTAAGACAACCTTTTTTTATTTTTTGTATGTGTTTATATTTTCTCTCTTTAATAAAAAATTAAACTAAAAGAATTATGCAGTCACAAATATACAGTCACATATTATTATTATGCATATCACTTTTAACTTTCAATATATATACTGAGACGAAACTCCAGTAAGGACTAAACTGCTGCGTGGCACAGATTCACTTCGGTACAGAATTTAAATCATTAAAAGGTGATTAGTTGGCCACGTTTCTAGGTGAATCAGAGTATTTTCACTCTATTTTCACCTGGAAAACCTTAAAAATTTAGGGAATATTATAAATCTGAAAGAAACCTGGAAGAGCCAGTGAATGTTGCTTGGAATCTTGAAAATCAAATTACTATTTATTGCAATATTTATTATTATTATTAATAACTTTATATTTATTAATATTAATACTAATTAAAAATAATAATTATTATTAAAAATAAAATAACATTCATAATAATTTATTAATATTAATTACCATTTATTGTAATATTTATTATTATTATTATCAATAATTTTATACGTATTAATATTAATAATAACAATTAATAATATTTATTATTAAAAATAAAAATATATTAATAACAATAACAATCTTATTTTCTGGATTTGAAACACATTTAAAAATACGCGGCTAGACTTTCAATATGGTCGTCACTTCGTCCGCATTCTGATTGGTGCTTGGTTCCACGTTTTTTTTGCCTGCGCGTGGCGAGACCTTGTTACTTGGATCATGCAATACCCCGTCTCTTCCCTTTCATTGCGCAAGCGTCAAATAAATTCTCAGCGCGCATCTTTTCGAAAACTTTGTTTAGGTAGTGGAATAATTGAAAAACAAGTAGATTTATAAATAATCTAAATAATTTATTTGATTTGTTTAAATATAATTAAATATTATAGATGATGACCACAGTTCTCGTGTGGCAAGTATTTCTGATATTTTTCAAAATATTTTGTTCAATAGATTTTTTTTTCATAAATATTCTTATTAATAAACAAAATTTGTTGAATAATAATCCTCTTCTATACTGTCATTGTGTTTTCGAATAGGTCCAGCATTCTTTTTATTTCCTTCCTGAACAAAAATTGGTTGTATTTTTTTGAGATTTGTTTTAGGAATAAAAACAAAATTAATTGTATTTTATAGAAACAATATTTACACTTTTTCAGCTGACTTGTAAATAGGGCCCATCGATTTCGAAAGTTCCTCACACTTTGCCATTAATTGATACATTGACTTTATGTTATGATCCACAGCATCACAAGTTTTACAAACTGTATCTCTGTACGTCTCCAGACAACCGACTGTTAACGCTGATGCCTAGAATTTATTTTTTATTTTTACCAGTAACAACAAAAAAAAGTAAATAATTAAAAAATTCGAATATAAAAAATACTTACACTGTGTAAGATTTCGGCCAAATTCTCCGTGAGAGAATCGACAGAGGTTGCAATTTTTCTAGCCTCCATTTCAAGTTCATTTAGAACATTATGATCCAAGAGTGGCACCTGCGGAGTGAGTGCTTGTCTATACAAACAACTCGGACTTCTTGACCCCGGAAACGATGGTGTATCTCCTTTTTTTGTCACTGGACTTGATAATTTGATTTTATTCTCTAAATCCTCGGCAACGAAAAGTACCATGTCACCTTCTTGCATTACAGTGCCTTCTAATTGTAAATAACCAAATGCCTTGTGATAATTCGGTGGATTAAAGTAATTATCCTCTTGACAATTTTTTCTTTCATTCTTTAAACTCAAACAATCGGGTCTTGTGGAAATTTCGTCTACTCTCTCTTTGAATAAACCACCACTATCAGCGTCTGGTGAACCAATTAGTGAACGTAATTCGGAAATTGGTGGCGAAGATTGTGAATCAAACGATATCTCCGAATAAGAAGCTGTCATTTCGTGTAACTAAAATTTATTCATATTAAAAAAGTTATAAAAGTAATTACTTAAAATAAATTTTGTTTCACGAACCTTCTCTTCATCGAAATCATTAACTCCGACTAATTTCTCATTTGCTGACGACTGGCTCGCTTTCGAAATATTTTGATTTTCTTCCGATTCCATGATTTTGTTTGCAATTTCTTTATTTTTATTTGATTTTTATTATTATTCTTGTTTGACAGTTTGACTGCGTTTGACGTTTGACAGGAAAACAGTACCAGAGATGGGAAAGTCGAAATACTACAATTTCTCCCCCTCTCCTATAGTGCAACACTTCTGGTATGTGAAATCAGCTTAAACACTTTTTTGTCGCAGTTTCCAATCTTTGGATTTTTTGTACTTTATGCTTCAGGTCCCATAATACAAAAACAATAGAATTTTTAGGTTAGAAATAATAAAATTCTATTTTTTAGCAATTATTAATTTATTATAAATAATAAATAATATAAAAACCGATGGCTCTTCAAAGAAGTTTTCGATTAAATCAAGTCCTAAGGGTTGTTCTTTCAGAATGTAAAAATAGTTCTATAAAAATTAGGACAGTTCAAACGGAAACACAACCAGCAGTGAAACCAAAAGAAAAATTTCTTCAACGTTGGGGTAAGTTGATAAATATTTACATATTAGTTAATGAATTCTAAATTGAAATGAAAATTCTAAATTTTAGGGAAATATTGGAAAAGCCTCTATCTAGATTATAGAGACGTTGCTATTGATGTTGCCAAAGAATTTAGACAAAGACCTTTACGATGTTCCGGCTATGTCGCGAGTATGTAAAATTAACATTAAAAATGTTAAAATATTTAACTTATTTTTTAAACATTGATATTTGATTGATATTTAATAAGTTTTAGAAAATTAATTAAATTCAGCACTTCAGTATTTGTTTCTTTTTTAGCCTTAGGTAGTTTATATTTCTTTTCGCAACACAATCCCGACATGTGCTCGTATCGTGATCAGTTGTTGAATAACGAATCGAAGATAACGCAAGTAGCTCAGCCTCTTCGAAATCCCGATTCAGAAAAATACGTCACATGGGTAGAACAATGTTGCAATGAAGGGATTATCAGACATTTGAACTTAGGAATAATCTCATTTATATGGCTCGATAATTATGATGAAAGTTCTGCAGTCTATAAAGCCACATGCTCCTACTTAAAACCTCAGTATTTAAAATTTTATCAAAGAATAATTGATATTGGCTTTTTGGATAAATGGTGGTTACTCGAGGACAAAATGCACGATTACGATGTAAATATAGCTCAATTTTAAAATTGTAATTTTTCTTTTTTTCTGTAAATAAACACTAGAAAATTATTCTTTAATATTAAAAAAATACTTTTAAGAATTTCGCATTTCTTTATTTACAACACTAAAAAAATTACAGATCATTTATTGTATAAAGCGGTCAACGATTAAAAAAATTTGCATCTGTAAAAATGACCAATTTTTTGTTTAATTGTTAATTCTATATAATAGAAAACAATTAAGCGTCTAGAGCGTAAATTATTGCCGTTCTGCAGGGAATGTAAGCCAACATTCGATGGGGCTTCCCTGAAAATGGTTCAGGTTTGGTAAAATGAGATACATTCGTATCAAGTCGATTGTGACCGCCGAAATTAGTATCATCACTGTTGAGAATTATTTTATAAGTTCCTGGACTGTCGACACCGACAGAATAATCGGTGAATGATTTTGTTGGATGAAAATTGAAGGCAAAAACGAGACCAGCTCGATCGAATATTATTACTTTGTCGTCTTCATGTTTGCAGCTAACGTAACCCTGTTTTACAATTATTTAAATTAATAATTATTTTCAATTATTTTACTTTTAAAATTTCTAATTTTTTCGATTATTTATCATTCAAAAATGAGTAAAAAAATTAAGTTAAGAATTTACTTACTGGATTAGCATGAAGCCAACCGTATTTTTCCTCTAATTTATTGATTTCCCGGTCCCAATTGTTGATAAATTTGTACTTTAACAATTCATCGTCGGCCAAATTCCACTGACGTCTCGCATAATGATAACTGTCGCTATTGCCAGCTCGAGGGAAATCCAACCATTCGGGATGTCCAAATTCATTTCCTTTGAAAAACAGAAAAAAATATTGTATAACGAGAAAAGTGAAAATTTTTACGAAATAAATATTTTTCATATTTTTTATAATTAAATTCATACCAACCTATGAAATTTAAATAAGCCTCTCCGCCAAGAGCGTGCGTTATTAGTGTAATTATATTATGAAGAGCAATTCCCCTATCAATTATTTGATTTGGAGGACTTGTAACACTCATACTCCAGTACATTTCCTTATCCATAAGCCAAAATGCAAGGGTTTTATCGCCAACGAGTGCTTGATCGTGCGATTCCGAATAAGCCACTGTTTTCTCCATCCATCGACGATTAGACAACGTCCAACAAATTTCGCCCATTTTCCAATCATCATCCTTAACTTCTTTCAATAATTTTATCCATTTATCTGGAATTGCCATTCCTAGCCGATAGTCAAAACCAACTCCACCTTCGGCAACTGGTCTAAAAGAAAAAATTTTTAATATTTCTAGAATTGTTTATTTTTTCTTTCATTTTAGAAAAGTCGAATTATATCACCTTTCGAGCAAATCTTTCTATTCCATATACACTTTTTTTTAAAATTCTTCACTGAATCACTAGGTTGATATCATGCATGTTAAGGCCTTAAAATCCCCAGTAAGTTTATATTAGTTTAATCTATTTTTTTGCTACGAAATATGTACCTACAAACGCCTGGCATTCCACTCACGTCTTCGGCAATTGTTATCATTTCGGGATACAAACTGTGCAGAAAGTGATTTGCAACCATTAAATAAACCACACCTTCAACGTCGACATTTAAATTGTAATATTCGTCATAATGACCACTGAAACCTTGTCCGAAACCTCGTGAGTGATACAACATTGACGTCACACCGTCGAATCTACAATAAATTAAAGAAATTAAATAAATTATTAAATTACTAATTAAATAACTAATTAAATAAATTAAACCTTGAAATATGAAGTGAATATTAGAAAACGTAGAAAAGTAAAACGAATTCAAAATCAAACGGAATGAAAGCAGTTTTTTACCTGTATCCATCGAAACCGTATTCTTCAATGTACCATCGCAAATTCGAAAGCAAAAATCTTAAGACTTCATAATCGGCGTAATTAAATAGACGACTGTCCCATAGGGGATGATCACCACGATGTCCTGAGTGGAAGAAACAAGCGTCCGTTCCGTCAAACATATTTAAACCGTCGAGAGTATTTTTTGAGGCGTGAGAATGAACCACGTCGAGAAGAACGTATAAATTATTTTCATGAGCAACGTCAATTAATTCCTTTAATTCCTCTGGTGTACCATAACGAGATGAGACAGCATAAAATGACGTAACCTTGTAATTAAAAATACATAAATCATTAAAGTAAAATATTTAAAAATATAATAATATAATAATTTTGAATACAAAATTTTCATAAAGAGAAGAACAAAAAAATTACATGAAAAAAATAGAAGAAAAAGAAAAAGTTAAACTTACATAGAAGTAAAAATAAATTAATAATATTCACCTGGTATCCAAAACTTGCATAATAAGCGTGTTCCATAATAGCCATCAATTGAATAGCGTTGTAACCCTGTTTTACAATACGAGGAATAGTATTTTTTGCGAATTCCAGATACGTGCCAACCTTTAATTCTTGTGTAGCAATTCCAACATGACATTCGTAAATTCTGAGACTTTTCGGCTTTTTCGGTTTTGGATGCTTGGCTTTATAGACCTATATTTTTTTATAAACAGAACATAAATTTAAGTTTAAAATAAATTAAAAATCGAAATTAATTAAAAATTTTTAAATAAAAAAAGTCTTACATTTTCGGGTTTTGGATGCCAAATTCTTTGCTTAAAAGTCGTTCCCTCGGCACGATTTTGCGTCACATATGTTGCCCACGGACTCAATCTCTCCAATAATTCTCCGTTTTGACTTTTCACTATAATCTTTACTTCTGAATTATGTTTAAGCGCACAAGAGCCATCAGGATTTGCATCGATTTTTAGTTCCCATTTTCCAAAGTCTAATTTTTTAAAAGGAGTTTTCGTTCTGTTCCATTCGTCTGCAAATGCAAAATTTTTATAAAATGTCAAGAAAATTATCAATCCTCCAAGTCAAATATTAAAATAATAAAAAAACACAATTTTAACGTTTCGACAGCAACATTTTTAATTTCAGGCCCAATTTAAATAATTCTATGAGCATTACAAATTTTCCAAATTTGTAAATAAATTACTATATTTATCTTTTTCTTCTCAAACTAATTTTTTAAAGTTAAATCTAATACTCACTGAAATCTCCAGTTAAAAATAATTCCTGTGCTCCTGGAGCCCATTCTCTAGCAATTACACTATTATCATCATTAATGTGAATTCCAAAATTTTCATAACTTTTGGAAAAATTGTATAGACTCTGTTCCCCGCTTTCAATTCTTTCAATAACATCTTTGAATAAACCATATCTGAATCGAAAAATAGAAACATTTTTAGAATTATTCCAAGAAAGATTAATTTTTAATTACAGTTATATTAATTATTAATTACAAAATTAATAATTGTTTAATTAAAAAACTATACCTGCGCCGTATGTCAGCTTCGTATGGTTTTAAATAACCATCTCTTTCTAATAGATTTTTAATTTCAGGCACTTCTATGTCTAGCGGATCCATTGTTGACCACTTTCCATTCATTTTTTTTAATATTTTTTTTCAATTTTTTATTATAAATTCAATTCTCTTATTATAAAATAATTTCTAGAGTGAGAAATTATAGACCGGTAAAAGCAACTCTGAATGACATTTGAAGGTTATCTGTAACAATCTGTAAATTATGGTGCATTCATACTCATAGGATTTTTTATCACGTGGTCCAGGGTTGAGTCACTTTAACTCGCTTTTATACAAAAAAGTAAGTCACTCATCTACATGTAGTATATACTTAAAGCTTAAAACGTGTTTTGAATAGCGAGCCACATGTTCCGAATAGCAACAAAAAACAAATAACAAAAAGGACAAATAGTGACACAATACGTAAACAAAATGTCAAAATTAGTGCAATACGTGATTGTTCGTGGTGATTTATCAAAAACAATGCAATGGCCACTTGGTGCAGTGATAGCACAGTCTTGTCACGCGTGTACTGCAGTTATTCACAAATTTTATAACGATGAATACACTCAACAATATTTGGCAGATTTAGATAATATGCACAAAGTAGTACTCGAGGTGAATATCAAAAATTAATACTTTCATTTATGAATTATTTTTGTAAATATTTTCCAAATATTTTTTAATTTATTCTATTAAGGCAAATAAAAGGCAATAATTTATTCTATTTGTATGATTCAATATTTAAATTTCACTTTAGATTTCCGATGAGAACAGTTTGACAGACATGCATAAAAAGCTAGAAGAAAATGACATCGATCATAAACTTTGGATTGAACAACCGGAAAATATACCAACCTGTTTAGTTATTAAACCATATCCAAAGGAACAAGTACATAAACATGTTAAAAAATTGAAACTTCTACAATAGTTGCAAGTACAAGTAAGTGCAATAAACTGATTTTCAATTGTTTTAATTCTTTGTTACTCTATTATGAAAATATTCCCATTTTTGGTTTTTTTTAAATAGATTTTTATTCAGAAAAATCTATATTCATCTATAAAATATATAAAAGCAGACAAATTGAAAATAATGTAATTCTTGGCAAGATTTTTCTTAAAATTCTCTTTAAAATAATTGAATTGTTTTGAAGAATTTTTTCAACATTCTTGAAAATAATGCAGTTTTTTTTAATAATTTTTACTGGAAATTTTGAAAGTAAAATTGAATTTTATTAAAAATTCAATTATTTTCAATAATTGTAATAAAATTCTTTACGCGAAGTCAATTTGTAAGTAATAAAAATCTTCGTAAAAAAATTAAATTATTTTTATATAAAAAGTAAAATTGAAATAATTAATTATAATAAAAAAGGACATGGTAGGGTTGGTACTTTGATAGAATATTCGGAATTTTATAACGCTAATTGTAAAAATTTATTATAGTACATTTACCTCAAAACATTATAGTCGTTAATACGCAAAAATCCAATATGTACAGTTAAAGTCTATAGTTTTTTTTTCGTTTTTTTAATCTCTTTTCATATGAAGCTACATAATAAAAATCTATATTTATTTTCTAGAAGCGTACAGCTACTAGAGTCAAAGAATACATGACTTTGACTGTACATGTACAAATACATACATATATCTATAGTAAAAATTAAGATCTAGTTTTTTCTCCTCTTTTTCATTAGTTTTATTTATTGTATAAAAAATATTAGGACTTAGGCGATATTTTTGATCTCAATGATATTACATACGATTTAATAATTTTTAGACATATGTATATATCAGTCTTGCACATGGACAGTCATTGTAAAAAGAAATATTTTTTAAATAAACTATAAAATTGTGTACCTTATCGTACAGCAAATACTATAGAATACTTACAAAAAGCTCTCCATAGAATATAGTGAACTTTTTTTTATGTGGCACATGTACAGAAATTGTTTATTGTTTTTTTGTTTCTCTTTTTTTTTTTTTTTTTGATTACGTATCGCTTATAAAAAAGCAAAAAAAGGCGTCTATTTTGGTATTTGAAACATATTTTGTTGACCTATTTTCTATAAACCAAAAACAGTCTTTCTTATAACAATTCCATATCACAAGTTTGGCAAATGCATGATTGATATTTTTTTTTCTTTTTTTGATAAATGATGCAGTACTTACAATTACATTTAAAACCTGTACAACTTTTAAGGTTTTAATTCCCAGAGAAAAGATTTTATGAATTAAAGAAATTTTTTCCTTTGAAAATATATTTCGATTTTCAAAAAATTTCGATATTTCCTTTTTTTTAATGGTGAAGGAATATTTAATTATTAATTATTAACAAATGTACGATAACGATAAATAATAAATTATTTACTTTTTTAGCGTTATAAAATTTTCCGTTTCAATAAATTTAATATAAATATAATTTAGAAATCTTTTTTCATAAATATAAGTTTTTTTAAAACAAATTTAAAAAGTAATATTCAATTTTTAAAATATTTTGTTAAATAGAAAAAATTGCACAAAGTTATTAAACTTTTAGGTAATATTTATATTTTTAAAAAAGAATCTTAATTAAAATTTTGTTTTAGAGTTTAATCTCTTTTTTGGAGTATAAATTATTATTAATAATAAAAATTTACTTAAATATTTTTACACACTTTAATAATACAAGTTAATATACAAAAAAATATTTTACTATCACGCGGCTAATAAAAAACTTCAATTTTTTCTTTCGTTTTGTTAAATAAACTAAATATTTTTATTTCTTTTGTAATAATATATTTTTATTTGGTAAAAATTTCACTTTGAAATGAGTAAAATTAATATTTTCTTTAATTAATATTTTTCTCTGGGTATATAGTATAACGATGCAATTCGTTTATTCTAATTTATCAAGATTAGTAATCACCAAAAATAATATTAAAAATAGTGTCGCATTTTTGTTGAAAAAAACTTGAGTTAAAAATCAAGTATTAGAATTCAGTTTTAATTCAATTTAATTTTTATTCAATGTAATTCTAATACTAATTTTAATTTAATTTCAATTCAATTTAATTTAAAAAAAGACTCAAAAAACCGAATTCGAAACAAACGGAAAAACATAAATCATTTTCAGTGATTACTATTCTTTGTAAATCGTGTTTAAAATTCCGGGAAAAACCGTTATTAAGATTCTATTAATAATAAGTAAAAAATGTATTTTTCATGTTTATGTTTTTTTAAATGCAAATTGAAAAAATAAAAATTCAACTCGCTTACAATAATCCCGTAGGTATAATACGCTCAAATTAGAATTCAATTAGTTCCACAAATACGCAAGAGCTTTGAATCCATCACAAGCACTTTACGCATTTGGAAATACAAATAGAAAGTCCCCCGAAGGTGAAATTTTTAAGTGCGTTACAGCCTCGAAAATTTCAGAATTTTGAAATTATTTATTCCAAGTTAAAATTCATAGTTTTTAAAAAACATATATATTAACTAAAAATTTATTTAAATCCAATGAAAATATTTTTCCCAGTATTTTAATAAACAGTATAAGCAATATTTTGGAATCAGTCATGCAAAATACATATTATAGAGATTGTAAAATATAATATATGCAGCCATAAAATACAGTGGAAAAAAAATATTTTTATATTATCCAATTTTTGATTTTCTTAATATCTCGAGAAATATATTTATAATCTCGAGAAATAATCGAAAATTTTTTTATGAATAGCAAATTAAATTAAAATTTTCAGTACGATTAGATGCGTTGACAGAGATCTTTGACTGTTGATATATCAGATGAAATATAAAATTAGCAAAATTACTAATTATTAATTATTAACTATTGATTAGTGATGGTGAATAAAAAAAAATTACTTATAAATTCAGTCTATTTATGCTTTTGCATTGTGCAAGTAATAAAACCAAATACATTTAGCTTGATAAAAAAAATGACCGAACTGTTAACACTTTTCGGATCATGGTATTTAATTACTTAATTTAATAATAATATTATTAATAATAATAATAATAAAAATAATAATAATAATAATTTCTTTAAAAGAAATAATAAATTCTAGACGAATTGACTATTTAATTTTGTCATTTATTGACTATTTTTGTCAAATTAATGACGGACAATATTATTTATTTTATAATATAAAAAATTGTCTATTTCTTTTTTTTATCAGACTGCAAATACTTGGCTTTTGCAAACTTACATTTCTAATATATATAATATATACTTTTTTATTTTTAATCTTTTTTAATGGACGACATTATCGTTTTGTATGTTTTTTCTCTTCTTGAATTTATTATCTAAGATATCGTTAATTTAATTAATTTATTAGAATAAAAAAAATGTATATATACACACACTGCAGACGTTAGACACTGAAAGTACACTTATTTACAACACTTATTGGCAAGGTATTAGTGTTAAATTTTATTGACTATTGTATTAATACCTATAGTCTTAGAAACACGATGAGTAAACAGGATGTGCAACAAATGATGATATGATTTTGACTCTTTTAAAAAAAGCCGTAATAAAATTATTACTGCTCTTCTTCATCGAGCCATTGACGTAAAATGTTGCGTTTTGGCTGCAAAAAATGAAACACAAAAATTAACACAAAACTTAATTACAATAATTCAAAGTATTTCTTTTAATTCATTTTCGAATCTTTTTTGTCTATTTTAAAAAGTTCAATCTCGAATTACTTGAATATTTACAGATTAGTGTGAAATAAAATTTTTTTTTCCTAATGATTTTGAAGCGTAATGGTGCATAAAATATTAAAGAAGCATTTTAATTTTTTGTCTATTACAAGTTACGAAAGTTGAATTAATTATGGGCTTTCATGCATTTTACCTACCACACAGTTTGTTTTTTTGTATATATGTTTATATAATTAGCACTCGTTAGTTTTTAATAAAAGAGGATGATGTTGAGTGTCAAATAAAATTGTCATGTGATGAGAGATTAAAGCAGCGCTTATGATTATTATTGTTCGGCTAGATTTCCATTTTGATCAGAATAATCATCATATTCCTCTCCTTGATCATCGTAATCGGTTTCAGCTGGCTCTGGACCGTCAACTGCCGCCGATGTTGTACTCAATATATCCTAATAAGCATAGATTTGACAATCCCCAGAAAAAATCAAGCATTTCGTAAAAAAAGAAGAAAAAATCCACACCATGTTAATATTTACAGAAATTTTTTACTTTTGTTATTAGACATTTTTTTTAGAATACGCATATTACTAAAATTAATTCAACTAGATTATTTAGTTTCAACTCTATAGTCTACTAATAAATTAGAATTACTGCAAAAATACAAATTTTTTTCACTAAGTAAAAATTAAAAGTTAAAAATAAAAAAATGAATAATTAAAATTTACAATTTATAAACTAAAAATTTTATGTCGATTTTGTTTCTAAAATTTTCTTTATGAGAAAAAAAATTTTTTGAAATATTAATTCTTGGAGAAATATTTAAGAATTTATTCGAAATACCTGAGGCGATCTCCATCCGCATCCCGGTAATGGAAGTCCATCTGGACCCAAGGGACATGGTGCATCTAAACCAGGAACACCTTGATCGCCTTTATTTCCCTTTTCTCCTCGTCTGCCTCGTTTTCCGGTTGGACCCTGTGTAGCAATTAAAAAAAAATCATTCAATTAATTTCAATCAAATTCTTTTCGAAAAAAATAAATATCGCGGCGTGCAAAAAAGGCCAGGCATAAACAACTCGTATGCAATGTTTTTTTTTACTGAAATGATGCATTTTCCTTTAAAAAAATTGAACACAGAATGAAAAAGTAATGAAAAGGTGATTTTTGCTTCAAATTCAGAAAAACACCTTCGTATAAAAAATGCAATGCAATAATTATGCAGAAGAAGTTTTTTTTTCTTTCAAAAAGTGTATTGTTTTAATTTACGCGATTTTTTTTTTATTTAAAAAAAATGGTGGCAGCAGATAACTTCAAAGACAATTCGTTATAATTCGCCTAATAATATGTCGATTTGCTAAAATAAATATTGATGATTAATTACGAATTAATTCAAAATCAATTAATCGATAATTAATTATGAATTAATTAATAATTAACAGTAGGAAACCAACTTAAAAAAAGAAATTCAATTTAATCACTAGAAATTGGCAAAAAAATGGTCTTTTTGCAAATTAGATTTGCAATTAGAAAATCAATTAAATAATCGATAATTACAATTAATAATTAATAGTAAGGAATTAACTAAAAAAAAAAAAGAAATATTTTTCATCACTAGAAAAATGGTCTTTTTGCCTATTTATTGATATTTTGCACTTACAGATTCGCCTTTAAGTCCTTTCTCTCCTTTGGGACCCTGTAATTAAAAGAAATGGGTCATCTAATAAAACTGTAATTTAATCGATACTAAAAGGTATTTTTTTTGCAATTTTCTATATTTGATAGAATTAATAAAAAAAATTACCTCGGTTCCAGGAATTCCATCAGTGCCCTGCATTTAAACAAAAAACAAAAAATGAATTTAGTAAAAGATTTCAATTTTAGAAGTGTCTGTTAATTAAAATTAATTAAATAAACTCACAGGTAGGCCCGGATCTCCTCTTTCTCCTTTCGTGCCAGTTTCTCCCTGTGCTCCCTAAAAAGTAAAAAAAAAGTTTTCTTTACTCCAAAATTAAAAAATTAAATTTATTTTAAATAATTATTTATTATTGATATTTTTTCTTATTAATAATATTTATTACCAATAATATTATTTACTTAATATTAACAATAATTAAATATTATTAACTGTTAACTGTCAATAAATTAATAATAAAAATAAATTAATTGTTAATACTATTAACATTAAATATCAAAAAAAATTTATTAACAATGATTTAATTCACTACGTCAAATTTATTATTCAACTAATTTTACATTCTTCTTTGTAGAAAAGAAAAGTGAAAAAATATTAATTTGAATTTATCACTCTGTGATATATAATAATGTTGATTGAAAAAATTAAAATTTACTTGAAAATAATTGTCAGAGAGAGAGAGGAAATTTTTTTTTTTCATAATTTGCTCACCTTCATGCCGTCTAATCCTGGAGGTCCCTGAAAGGTAGATGGAATAATTCAAATTTAATATTAAAGAAAAACAACAATTGAAAGCTAAAACGCTTTTTAATATACACGTTCACAGTTCAATGCGTTAGCATTTTTTTTTCATTTAAAAAAAAAATATGACAGTACAGAAGCAAAATATAATGAAGATGCTTCTCAAAATTAATTTTTATATACACAATAATTATTTGCGTGCATCTTTTTTTTCTGTTACCAGTTCTCTGCACATTTTATTTTATTTATTCAAAACAATCGAGTAATTTCCATTCGGAAAATTAATTTTTACCGTTAATTTATACAATAAACGAAAATAATAATTAATATAATTGTATTATATTTTAAGACAATAAATATATAATAATATTATATATATTTATTATAATTATACTATTATTTATATAATTTATAAATAATAAGTAAATAATTAATCGCGAAGGACCAATTGAATTTGACAGCGATGACGTGACATTTTCAAGGAGATGCAAATTAAAATTTCAAAAAATGGCATTTTTTTTTTTTTTTTGGTAACAAAAACGAATGAGAAAAAAGATTCACCTGAAGCAGAGATAGAAGAGTTCAATCCTATTGGTATCACATTTCCAATGAGTTAAGCGTCGATGTCGAATAATCCATTAAAATACCGTTGTGGTCGCAGCAAAATTAGCACGTATCAAAATTCTTTTTTTTTGTATACACATATAATATAGCAATATTACTAATATTATAATATTATACAATATAATAATATACTATATAATAATATTCTAATATTAAATATTTAATATTATTATTTTTTTATTATTATTAATATTGTTATTAATATAATATTTTTATTTTGTGACAATATTCTATATTATACGTAGATATATTTTTTCTGTCATTCATTTTTTTTTCTTTCGAAATTAAAATATCAAGAGAGTTTGACTCTTTTAACAAATAATCACATTCGATACAAAATGCGAAGCAAAATTATCAAGAAAGAAGCATTAGGATAATCGATAAGAACACAAGCACATGCACATTCTGTTTATTAACCACAGCATATTTGCTAAAAACAATCGTGTGTTTATCGTATTAGTAAGATGTTCACTTTTTTTTCTCTTAACAATTATATCAAAAGCGAGGTACTGCTCACATTTTTAGTTTTTGGATAGAAATGTTTCATCTTTAATGTGCGCGAAAATTTTCATTCTTTTGGAAAGTGAATTCTTTTCCGAAGAAATAAATTATTGTCTAAAATTCTAGAAAAAAAATTGTTTTCTTAAAATTTCAATATTCTTTTTGTACATTATATTTATTTTTGGAAAATTAAAACCAAAATTTAATATTTATTTACTTTCTTATTACATTGATAAAATTGTTGAACTAAGATTTAAATTTTACTTTTTTTTACATTATTTTCTTCGTACTGAAAAAAAATCGTTTGATATTTTTATTTTTCGTCTTTCTAAAATTATTTTGATTTGCTCTATTCTCTTTTGATTAGATTTTTTCAAAGAAACGAATTTTTACTTATTGTTCTTTTTATACAATTTTACAAATTAATTTTTACGATTTTTCGTTTATATTTTGAAGATAAAACAATTTTTTTACACATTTTTTCTTGACATTGAAGTTTCCACATTTCTATATAATATTATACACATTTGATTCAGAATTATATATAGGTACACATAAAATTTCGATTTAACTAAAAATGTAGCAGTGCCTCGCCTCAAATGTTGCGCACATTATTTAGCATAATTTCTACATATAACAGAAACCAACATTGTTATCACTTAATTAACATTAATTCCTTAAAGTACACTTTATTTTATGGTATAACAGACATAATTTGTTTCCTTTCCTTTTTTTCTTTGTTTTTTTGACTTTCATTAAATTAAGCATTATATTTTACAATTTTTTCAGTTTTGTTTCTTTTTCTTAAGTAAACATCTTTAAAGCAGGCGTAAATTGTATAATTAATTTTTTTTTTATCAAATATCGGTGTTAGTAGTAGTGCAACATTATACACAATCAGCTGTAGTAGAATTTATCAACGTATATTATTATTATTATTTCTATTATTAATATTTAAATTAAAAAATATTCTTGTGCTGTCAAAAATTTAATTTTTTGTAAAACCATCCCGTCATGTTTGTTTCCATAATAATCCTATTGATATGCTATTAATGGTAGTCTTATTATTAAATAATTTTTTCTTTTTTCAATAGAGTCTGTATTTTTACATTCTCATTATATGAGAAGGTATCATAAATATATATTTTTTTTATTATGATTCAAATGGATACAGCCATACGAGATGTGCGATTTTACCAGTAAAATCTGAAATTAATCACAAATTTTAAATCGAAAATAAAAAAAATAAAAAAATTGAAAACGTGATTGGATTAATTGAACCAACCAAAAGTTTAATATCAGTCCAGATGGTGCTTCTTTTCTCGAAAAAAAAAGAAAAAGAAAACACTTAGAAACACCATCAATAATATTTTCCTGACACGTGTCGTATATCCATTAGAAGAAAAATTTTATTACAAAAGTTACGAGTGCATATTATGAATTTTCCTTTTTTTTGCAAGATAAAAAAAATAATACATATTCGAAGAATAAGATATGTCTATAATTATTATTTTTCAAAACAAACACATCACTACTGACAAGTCTTTTTTTAACATTTATTATTATCTCTATATCCGAAATACAAGTAAAATTTTATAAGTTAATTATGTATATTACCCGTTTAATAATACACGGCATATTTAGTTTTGATTAATCTATTAAAAATAATGTGATATTATCATCACCACAATAATACGTTTGAATTCGTAGAAAAGTTACGTATGAAAAAATATTTTGTTTTATTCCTGTGTTCTTTTCTTTCTTTTTTTTTGTCTCTTAAGTACATGAGTTACACTTAGTTTCTTATGAGAATTTTTCTTCATTATATTTAAAAAACTTTATAGAAAAAAATAAATAAAAAAAATTTTTTAACTCGACAAAATTTATTCAAAAAAACAATAAAATAAATTCTCATCTTCTGTAAATAATTGATGATGAGAGAATTTTTGTTATAAAATTTTTTTTAATATGCTGACAATCGAGGCTGCATTTCGAAATTTCGATCAAAAAGTATAATAGAAATAATTAGAAAATTATTTTTATGAAGCTTTTTTAAGCAATGTAATTTTATATTCTAGTTTTTAAAATATTTAATATCTTTTATAATCATGAATATATTATTGTAAACAATTAGAATAATATATTTAATTATGACAAATTATTATTATTGTTATTATTACAAATTGTTTTGTAATAATTTTTCCAATTTTCGAATTATTTGAAATTCAGCCTCGTGTATAATTTATCATGACATTTCCAAACATTTTTTAAACTAAGTATATTAAAATATATGCCAATAGTTATTATATATAAATAATAAACACGTCTATGAATAACCATAATACTGTTCAATTTCAACCCTTAATGACGAGATTTAACAAACTTCGTGCGTTCGTAGATAATCATTCATTCTTGTAAAAGTATAGATAGGAAGGAACAAGAGTAAGAATTGTAGAATAGTGTCTTACATTTCCTCAAAAAAAAAGAAAACTATCTTTGCATTACTTTTTTTACTATTTTTCCTGAGCATAAAAATGTAAATTATTTTTTGTTTATCAAAAAACAAAAATTTTATCAGAATTATATTTTTAATTGTAACTAATAATTATTTATAATAACTATAATTATTACAGATAATAAAATAACTATAGATAATAAAATAATTATAGAGAATAAAATAATAATTACAGTAATAAATAATAATTATCACAATAAAAAATAATTATTATTTTCAATAAATTCGAGTCCAATTGAAACAAAAATAGAGAAATAAATTAATTCACATTTTTATAGCACTCATTATAAATTATTGTGTACATAAATCAAATATTATTGTCGAAAAAAAATTGTCCGCATTTGCAAAATTGCAGATGTAATGAAAAGATAATGTTTTCTTTTCTCTTCATATGTACAGTAAATTTTTTGTTGTTGTGTATAAAAGAAAATTTATTCCGATTTACCCAGAAAATGAACAAAAAAAACAATCTGATATTATTGAGTTCCAACCTCTATTAAAATAAAGCTTGTGAGGAATTAAAAAAAAATACGAATGTACAAGGAAGATTAATATGGAAATTGAAAAAAATGTATTTTACTTGTTGGCGAGAGTGTGATGTTTTGAGAAATTAACAAGTGTTTGTTGTATTTACAAATCTCACTCTTCTCATAAGAATTTTAAGTCTTTAAAGAAAAAAAGAAAATTCTTTCTTTAAAACGAAAGAATTAGTCACAAAAAAAGTCATTAGTGAAATATTTTAGTCGAATCCAATTCATTTTTTTTTCTCGAGATTCTTAGATAAAGAGAAAACGGACAGGAGAGAGAAAGAGAGTTTGAAAAATTATTTTAGCATTATTATTTTAGACAAAAATGAAGTGGAAACGACAAAAGTCGATTTGATTTTTTTTTAATTTGATTACTTGTTTAATAATTGATTTTTTTTTTATTATTTTATAATATTTATTTATAAAATATTATGTATTTAAAAAAAATGGTTAAAATTTCAATTCCACGATTCGCAATATCGTCAAAAAAGAAAAAAAAATTAAAAATCAATAAGAAAAGTTAGATTTCTTTTAAAAAGTATTTTTAATTTAAAAGAATTGCGTTCTTTTTTTAGCTGCGTGAAATTTTTGTAAATAAAATTCTATAAAATAATTGGTGTTTTCCATTTCGCGACATTTGACACTTCAGCTCACTGGAATGTTAAATATATTTAATTTATCACTGAATTTATTTATTTTTTTTTTCATTTTGAAAAAAACGCTTTTTTTCTCCTCTTTAAAAACGGATTATTTTTTTGATATTTGACATCAATAAAATCAGATAAATTCTTTTAAAATTAACACTCAAGTACGTTTTTTTCTTTTCTTTAAACTTTTTTTTATGCACACTTGTCACCAGAATTAAAATTCGTGATAAAAAAATCAGACGAATTTTAAGCTTCTAAGGATGCTGGTAGAGATATACGTTTATTGACGCATGCTGTAGCTTTTTACGTAAATTCCGGAAATCTCAGCTGATGTGGGCTTAGATAGGTTTTTATTGTTGTTAACAATTTAGTACCTATCCCTTGTTAGTTGTTAGTTGTATCACCACGTGCCAACCTGTTTTTTTTAAGCCGATTGTTAATGACGAATTTTTACTAAAGAAAAAAAATTGACTTACTACTTTGTCATCATGAAGAAGTAGAAGCAGAAATGTCAAATGTATTAAAAATATTATCGAAAAAGAAAAAAAAAAGAAAAATTTATCTTTAAATCAAAAATTAATATTTCCTTTTTCTTTTACAAAATGTTTTAATTTGAAAGAGAAAAATTACTTGAAAAAAAATTACAATTTGAAATTTAATTCCCTTATAAAGAAAAATTGATTTCTCTTTTTTAATTCAAATTTTGTAATTTTTTTTAACTCTTTAGTGACAATTTACAACAAAATTATAAATAAGCAAATAGAGTGTTAATATTTTGAACCGCCTTCTTATACTTCTTCACAATATCACCATAAATTCATAAGTATTGCTTTTTTAATTTGAAGACGGATCAAAGAAATAAATCGAAAAGTATTTTTTTAATTAGTAGCAAATTAAACACGTTCGAGAAGAATCATACCTCTGAATTTAGTGCGGTCTCATGCAATAGTGAGTCTAATGTTCCTTTTACGTTTTCTAACTGTTATTACGTTCTACTGTTAATATAGTTTTTTTTGTGAAAATTGTTCAAATAGCATATATTTTATTCTACGTTTAGGAAACTTTTTTTAAATCTCTTGTAACCCCTGAAAGATTTTTTAATCCAAAAGTTTTTTAAAGATTCGAAATTGAATTATATTTTTTTATAATTGAATCGAAGATCAGAAAATATGAAAAATAATAACGAAAAAAAAATTCGCGATATTTTTTTTGCGACGTTTGTGCAAAATATTAAGTCTTATTATTCACTGGTATTTGTTGCAATATTCAGCATGTATTCAAATACGTAAACTCACGAAGAAGGCAAATAATGGTGATGTTAGGAGCGTGAAACCCGTGATCTTACCATGGAGCCAGATTTTCCACCATCTCCGGGCTTTCCCGATTCACCTCTTAATCCCATTGGTCCCTGAAATTAAAATAATCACGTAAATAGAATTATTTTTTGGAAAACAGAATCAAATTCTTTTTGAATTTAATAAAAATTTAATAATAAGAAATTTAATCTAACTCTACTCTAATTAAGTTCAGACGTCGATCAAACGAAAAAATTTATTTCTTCCGCAAATAAAAACAATATTGCGTTTCGCATTTAAAGAAATGTTTAATTTTGTTTTTTTATAACAATCAGTAATTTTCATAAATATTTATTTACGCATGTAGAGAAATAATTTATAGAGATTGTAAATGTTAAATTTTCCGTTTTTAATAACAATCAGTAATTTTCACAAATTTTTACACTGGCGAAAAATTTCCTTCATTTGAACGTTCAGAACTAGTGAATCATAAATTCAGTAGGGAATAATTATCCCAAATTAATCAAGTACGATATAGAGAAATTACAAAAATAATCGAATAGAATTTGTAGAAAAAAAATTAACTAAAATATGTTAATTTATTGAAATCAAAAATTATCAAACCACCCGAGAGAACAATTTTAAAATTGAAAATTATATATAATCAAGAAATTTACTTTTGAAAATGGAATTTCTCTAAAATAGAATTTCAATTTAATAGAAAACTTGGTCTCTAATCGAATTTCTACTTATCCAATTACCCCAGAAAATCAGCTTTCAGAAAATAAAAGAAAATAGAGTTTTTATATTTTTCACGTATAAGTTATTGCGCTTGTATGTCGTAAAAAAAATGGGTGGTATAATAATTTCTATAGCGGCAGTATTTTTATGATTTTTATAAATAGGAAATAAAAATTCCGTAAAAAATAAAATTCGATACTTACAGGAAGTCCCATTGGGCCTGGATCTCCTTTAACTCCCTTTTCGCCCTAAAAAATGGAAAAGATAGTGTTTAAAAATAACTTTTCATTATTTGCAAAATATTTATATTAATTTTTATTCTGTTAATTATTTTACAATCTTCTATAATAATAATCAATATTTTTCGGCTATTTTCGAAGTTTGAAAATCGTTTTTGTTTTCTAATTTCTAATTTTTAATTTAAAAAAAATTGTTTGGAATTAAAAATCATAATTTAATTTATAATTAACATTCTAAGTTTTGTGATACTATTTTTGGAAGAAAAAATAGATTTTATTTTATTTTTCGTAATTTTGCGTTGATAAATGATTTTTTAAAAATAATTTATTTTTAAAATAATTGAATGTTTCGAGAAATTTTATTAAAATTGTACTGGACATAATTTTAATCCCGGGAAAAAATGTATTATTTATAAAAATAATTAAATTCGTGAGAAGAGTTTTATTAAAACTTTTAAAAATAATAGAATCGTTTCGGAGAATTTTATTAAAATTTTAGAAAATAATTGAATCGTTTCGGAGAATTTTATTAAAATTTTTGAAAATAATGAATTCTTTAAAAAAATTTTATTAAAATTTTTTAAAATAAAAATAATTTAGTTAATAAGTGAATTTTTTAAAATAATTAATTTTCACAAATAAATAAAAATCTGGACAATATTTCAAATCTTTCTATTTTTAACTGAAAAAAATAGATTTCCGGATAAAGAAACAAAAATTACAAATTCCGGTCCTTTTTCAGAATTCCGTGATTAGAGGATTACGATTAGATATGATTAGATTATGATTTTTAGGTACCTTTCCACAATTTTTAGAAACTATGTAAAATTTCAAGAAAATCCCAATGATTTCTTAGGTCAAACCCTAGCAATTTTCCTTTAAATATTTCAAAGATTAAAGTTACTTATTTAAATAAAAATAAAATATTTCAAAACAGATTTACAAATTTTTTTTCATCTATAACTTGAAATGTTGAATAACATAATTAAAAAAAATGTTAATAAAGAAAAAAGAATTAAAAAAACATAAAAAATGTTTTATAAATACTGACAGGGTCTCCTTTAGCTCCATCGTGTCCTCTGTCTCCTTTAATTCCAGGAGGTCCTTGGAGTCCAGCCGGACCAGCAGGTCCAGGTGGTCCTGGTGGTCCCATTATCTAAAAAAGAAAAGGAAAATACAAAATAACGAGAAAATTATAATATATGAAGCTGTAGATTTTCTTATAAATGTAGGGATTATTTAGTTGATCTCTGACATCTTGGAGAAATCAGGATTTCGTTGGAATACAAAATGTAATATGAAAGGGAATGGGAAATTACAGATGCTGCCTTTCAAAGGGTATGGAATTCCATACTAAACCAATACAACAATAGGGAGACTATATTTTATACTTTTCTTTACATTAGATATTTTTTTGTCTACTTAACGAATTTCTCCAAAAAATGTCATAAGACTTTAATTTTAATTTAATCTAATTCGAGTTTAATTTCGACTTAATTCAATTTTATTTAATAAAATTATACTTAATTGAATTATATTAATTACTAATTAATTAAATTAAATTTTTTCAGATTAAAATTAAAGGAAAATAGTAGGTAAAAAAACGAAACTTACAACTTCACCGGCATTGACTTCAAAAGTTCCGTCTCCCTGTAAAAAGAAAGAAAATCCATGAAAAAAAATCCTTACGGAAACTTCTTCGTAAAATTTCCATATGTAATAAACTTTTATCATGTAAACCCGAACGCAGTATTCTCGTTTTACTGTTTTCTATTTTTTATCTTTTTTTCTGTACTTAAAAAGCTTAAGTCCTCAAGGGACCCCGATAACGTCATTGTATTCTTAGAAAAAGCTTCGGTAACAAAATTAATTTTTCGCAACTACAAAATTTTCTAACTATTTTAGTAAATTTACAATTATTTACGAATTAAAATTTTAAAAACTTTTTTAAAATTTTTTCTTTAATAAGTAGAAGAAAGTGCATACCTGTCTCCTCCTCAACTTTTTGTACTTCTACTCGAATCCAATGATCATGAAAAAAATAATTATTATTAATAATAAGCAGAAATTTTAATTAATTAAAAGGGGGGTTGTAAATAAAATAAATAAATAAATAAAAATGAATAAATAGAAAAATGAATGTTTCAAACGAAGTAGGAAAAAATATTTTTTTCTGTTCAACTCACCGATTCTCCTTTTTCTCCTTTCTCGCCTTTTTGACCAGGGTAACCCTAGTTGCGATTAAAAAATAAATATTTTATTGAATAGAAATCTTCGAAAATATTGAATATCGATATTAGGTAAAAAAAACTTACTGGAGGGCCAGGTAAACCAGGTGGACCCATGAGTCCTGGCGGACCAATATCTCCATAATCTCCCTTTTCTCCTTTAGGTCCAGCAACTCCCTGATCAAAAAAAAAAAAAAAAAAACAGTCTTATATACATTATGGTAACATAATATTTTTATTCCAAGTCGACGGAGATAATTATCATAATGACAGTTGATGAGATGTAAAATCTTTTCTAAAAGGAATCCGTGTTAAAGACTCTTAAGTGAAATACAATATTCGAACGGATGTCGAATTTATTAAAATATTTCTAATATTGTTTCGAAAATTTTCGCAGTTTCTAATATAAATATGAATATTCAAATTTAAATTTTCGTATTTCTAATTTTTAATTATTTAATTCTTAATGAATATTTAGTTTGTAAAAAATATTTTCAATTTTTTTTTCGAGAAAACTTTTCAAATTTTAATTTTCTTTTACAATATTTGAAAATTATTTTTATAATTTATAAATATATTTATTTACTAATATTCAAATTTACATATTTTTAATTTTAAATTATTTACTTTTGAAATATTTAGTTTCTAAAAAATATTTTCAATTTCTTTTCGAGAAAATTTTTCAAGTTAATTTTGTTTTAAAATATTCGAAAATTATTCCATAAAATGAATTACAATAATTAAAATTACGTTAAAATAAAATAAGCGAAAATAAAATAAATTAGAATGAAATAAATGAAAATAAAAAAGAATAAAATAAAAATAAAATTACAGTAAAATCAAAGGCTATGAGGGAGGTAAAGCAATAATTTATAGCATCAGGAAATAAATTCTATTTTATTCTGCAATAAAATCAAATTAAAATAGAATAAAATAAAAAAATCAAAATAAAATACTTTCGAGTTTATTTTAAATAATTTGCAATAATTGATGAAATAAAGAACTAGACATGATGAAGAATATTTGATTCTAATGAAAATAATTGACTTTACTCACGGTCGATCCTGGAGGTCCTTGTATTCCAGGTTCCCCACTAACTCCATCCAGACCAGGCATTCCTTGAAGTCCACTTTCTCCCTTAGGTCCTAAAATAAAAATACCATTTGTCTTAATCGAATAACAAAGAATCTCGAGAATTATTTCAAAAATCCGTATGTTTATATACAATCCCTTATTAATAATTCCCTTTTTTTTTGAGGATACGCTCTGGTAACATTTTTCTTTTTAAATCCATGTTTTATCACACGCTTTTTATTACTTCCGCTATAACATTTATTTTCATATGTTGCGAGTTGTTTTTTTCTTTCTTTCATTCTTTCTTTTTTTTCTCTCTTGACAATCTATGAAAAATGTCCTTTAAAAAAAAAAAAAATTAAAAAAGATTGTAAAAAAGAAAATAAATCAATAAAATAACGCTCCTGTAATAAATAAAAAAAGAAAAATAATTGTAAAAAATATTGTTAGTATAAATAAATACAAAAATTATAAATTGGAAATTTTTTCCGAAATTATAATGTGTAATTTTTTGCTGAGATTTTTATTTACAATATATAATGTGATTATAAATGTATTTATGCAAAATAAACAATAATCAGAGTTCTCGTATACTTACGGTTGTCGAAGAATTGACATTGTCATGATGAGTATTGGAGTCTCTAGCCCTCGAGTGGTAGATATTAGTGATTAGTGGTTCAAATTGACACACAGAAGAGATATTGGGTGTTACTTGCTACATAAATACAGATTAGTTACAAGCTACCTATACAAAAGTGATTGTAACGGTGCAATACACATAAAACAATTACACTGAGCAAATCTGTCAAATTTTGCAATTTTTTTTGTCTCATTACTTTGATTTTTTTAAATTTTGTTCAGACAAAAAATGAAAAAAATCTAATAAAAATATACAAATACCTATTAAAAAATAAAGAAAATAATTAAAAATATACCTAAAAAAAATAATTAGGCAATTATAATTATTATTTTAGCTATAATAATAATAATAACATAATAATTATTATTATTATTACTATTATTTTTTTCATATGGACTAATAATAATTGTTTACATTACGATTTTTGATTTGATTATTATTATACCACAAATTTATTTTCTTTCAATAAAAATATGAAAACTCTGAATATTTGTCAAATTTATCACCGCAGTCTTGTTTGTATTTAAAAAATATAATAAATATCAAAGAACAAATATTGTCATATTCAGTAAATGTTCGCTTTTAACAAAATTTATCACAGATTTGCTGAGTCTCTTTATTATCAAATAGAAAACAAAATCTCGAAAATAGAGAATAAAAAGTTACTACACCTACACCAAAAAATAAAATATTAACTTCACACTAAAAATAAACTAAACTTCAATTGAAATTATTGTGCTTACATTTATCTATTCATGCGTTAAAAGTAAATTCTAATAATTAATTACATAAACACCTTAGCTACTGTTTAAAATAAACATTATAAATTCTTCATTATTATTTAATATTTAGTTTATTTAGAAACTAAATTATATTTTCATATTAACAACAGACGATTTTTCAAAATTCAGTTATTCTGTAATCGATTTTTTTAATATGAAAAAAAATTCATTTGACTCAAATAATTAATTACTTGGTTATTTTCGAATAAATATTTACACTTGAGGTAAATAATTTTTATTGAACTATTTTTTATTGAATTATATTTATTCTTTTTAACTATTAATTATTTAAATATTTATGCAAATAGTTTTTAATCAAATAATTTTTATTTGAATAAAAATAATTTAAATAAACATTATTTGATTCAAATTAAAAATTCAAATAATTTTTGTTCAACAAATAAAAATTATTTGATTCAAATTCAAAATTTAAATGATTTTTGTTTAAATAATTTTTACTCAGAAGATTTTTTAGTTAAATAATTCCTATTCAGAAGATTTTTTAGTCAAATAATTTCTATTTAGAAGATTTTTATTCAAATCATTTTTTAATTCGAGCCAATAATCCATGTAATTGATCAAAGTGACATTTAATTGCCACAAATAAAAATTATTTGATGGAATTAAATATTTAGTTGATAATAAATAAGCAATTACTTATTTTGAATGACATTTTTTCTCACTGTATATTAATTAGCACTCAATTTTAATTTCGATCCACATTATAAATTTGTTTCGATAATAAGTTTTTACTAGAATTGAATAATAAATTCGCAATTGAGTAATTATTGTAATTTGTAATTAATATTTTTAAATAATAGTTCGTAAATTGTAAATATATTTCCAAATATACTTACGATTATTTATGTGAAATCTCTATTCTAAATGTAAAATATGTATTATACTTATTTATTTAAATAATAAATAAATATTTATTTTACTTAAATATCAATGTTTGTTTTCAAAAACAATACATCACACCTTATTTCTTTTTACAATTAAAGTTATTGCCTCTTGAGGCTTAAAAAAATTGTATCCCTATATTGGAATATACACACAAGTCAAATTACTTGTTTAGAAAATTATTCTAGAAAAAAAATTGTTTAAAAAAATTAAATTGAAAAAAAATTTAACTAAAAAAAGGAAAAATATAAAAATACAATCCTTTTTCTATTAGGAAGCAAAAATTGCTTTTAAATTTAAAAAAAGTAAATAATATTAAAATGAATCTATTAACACGTGTCATTTGCTGCCACCAGTGAAAAACTTCTTTTACCGCGATATTTATTTCTTTGCTCAAATATGCACTGTATCCATGGAAACAAAAAAATGTAAATTTAAATTTAACTTTAGACATTTATCTTTTTTGTTAATAAATAATAAATAAGTTTAATAATTGGACTTTTTCACCGAATTGTTAATTTTTTTTTACTTTATACTTTGTGCGAAATCTTTTTATTAAAATTAATTTCCAGAATCGCTTATTAAATAGTAAAATAATAAAATAATAAAATTGAATGAATTCTGCTTTGTTGGAAAATTCCAAAAGTTGTATAATCATATTTAATTATAATATACATCCGAGGCAAAAAAGAAAAAAAAAATTACTGGGCGAATTATAATAATGTTGAAAATTAACTTTGCCACCAGTTTTCGTATATTTGACAAAAAAAATAATAATTAACGTTTGTGCGTGTAATATGTGAAGTCGCAATGAATGATAAATGAGACGCATGAATACTTCCGAAAATTATAATATTTTTCTATTTTGTAAATTATGTATCCAAATTTTTCAAAAATTCACAATAAAACACGAATATCTCTTTGATAGAAAATTTCATAAAGTGCAATTTAAATTAAACTAAAATTTTTAGATAAAACTACTACTTTGTAAACACAAACCCAGAAAAAAGACTCTGAGCCAACTAAAATTTTTATTAGTTTCAAAAAAATTGTATTTAGTTCATTTATTTTTTCAAAAATAAATAAATACATTTTTTTTGCAAAAATAAATAAATTTCTACCAAATAAAATTTTATCTCTGCCAAATAAAATCTTATTTCTGACAAATAAAATTTTTATTTAAAACAAATACACAATTTAGAAAGCTCTGAGATAAATATACTTTTATTTAGTTCAAGCAAATTATATTTGGTTCGAGTATACCGAAAAAAAATTATTTGATTCAAATAACCGACTACTTTTTATCAAATAAATATTTACTTGAATCAAAAAAATTGTTTTCATGTCAAATAAATTATATTTGAACCAATAATTTCAGTATTTGAATCAAATATGAATTGAACCATTTAATTGACACAAATAAAAATTAATTCAAGTAAATATTTATTTGATAAGTAATTTTTTATTTAAAGCAATTTTTTTTCAGTGTAAAATTTTTCTCTGGGTGCAAATTGTTTTTTTTTTTTTATTGAACAAAATTTTGATTCTCTTGTCAAAAAATTGGTACTTAAAAATTTTTTCAATCAAGTACAAATATTTTAGTTCAATTTTCATTTTAAGAAAAATTCTATCAAAAGAAAATTGGTATTTTTTTTGCGAAAAATAAAAGATGGACCTTAAACTCAAATGACAATTTTCGGGAATAAAAATACTCTCGGTTATGTTTTGATTGTTGCACAAGAAAAATGTCATGCCACATTTTTGACAACTGACAAGAATAACTACAATATAATCGATCCATCTCCAAGCACCAGAATAGAATAATTAATGCTACTGCAATCACTATATACAAGCATTCCTTTGTTTTTGTTTTAAGAGAGAAGGGAAATACAGAGACAGAGACAGAGAGAGAGAGAGATAGAGAGAGTTGCTGGATATAAATCTGCTTTTTATATGTTTGTTATTTACTGCATGCAAAACATGCACATAAAAAAGTGAAAAAACAATTCGGCATGTCTGAAGAAGAATCGCTCTCTCATTAAAAGTACATGAAAGTTATTCTCTTGAACAGAGAAAATATGCGTTTTTGAAGCTTTGCATAATCGATTTCATTGATTTTTTGAAATCGAAAAAAGTTTTTTTTTTAACTATATTAAAGCTTACCCTTTTCCCTTGCTTTCCCCGGGTACCTCTTTCGCCGTTAGGACCGGCGGGTCCCGTTGGACCCGATTCACCCTTCTCACCCTGGAGCCCTGTATACCACGTTTATGAAAAAATATCACCACTTTTACACTCATATATACGTACTGAGTGTGAAATATCCTCTTTTTTCTAATTTTTTTCTTTTCTTTTTTTTTGGTTGCAAATTCAGTATTAAAAATGAAAAATAAATTTCTCGTGCGAAAAAAACGTGAATGCGGAGAGTGTATAAGGACATTTTCCAAGTAGTCATAGTTTCCTAGGAGATTTATTATGTGTCTCCTAACAAATAACACGCAACTCGCGACAGTGAATAGGATAAATGAAACTCGTCGAGTTTTGTATGGATGAGACACTTCATATACGAATATAAAGGATAGTTAAGCATTCACAATAACTGCACTTTATAGGACACTGAAGTAAACTCTTTTCATTGAAATCAAATGCGCAAAAAGAGAGAGAGGTATTTTTATTTCTTTAATCCCATCAAGTAAATAACAAAATTTATTAGGCACATGAAAAAGAAATTTTCATTTTTTCTCCATTGCAAATTATTTATTTCGACTTTCAGTTTATTATTATTATTATGCAAATTTCTAATTTTTTATTTTCAAATATCAACTTTTATTTTTGAATAATTTCAGATTCCAAATTTTTAAAATTCACTTATTCAATTTAAATTTTTTAAATTTATTTAATTCTAATTTTAATTGATTAAAATTTAATTAAATTTCACGAAAGGATTCAATTATTTTTAAAAATTTGAAAAAACATTTAAACATTTTTCGACAGAATTCAAGTATAATTTTTATAAAATTTCTCCAAAGAATTCAATTAATTTCAAAAATTGTAATAAAATTCTGAAAAAAATTCAATTATTTTCAAACAATTTTCATAAAATGAAATGAAAATTATTTTTAAAAAACTATTATTTTCAATAAATTTATAGAAATTCTTCAAAAGAATTTAATTATTTAAAAATTTTTTGGTAAAATTCTTCCCAAGAATTTTATGATTTTCAATAGATTAATTTTTAAATCCAAAACAGTTAAAAAGAAAAATTATAAAAAAACATTAGGAAACAGAAAAACAAACAAAAGTAATAATAATATTGAAAAGGAAAATATTAATATTAAAAACAAAAATAATTAAAATAATTTAAAATTAAATGTTAATTAATTTCTTGATAAGTAGACATACCTTTGAGTCTTTTCAGAAGCAAAAATTCCTCTTTAATTAAATTAAAGTGAAAGACATTTAAATTACATTTTCCGTTCTTTAATTTATTACATTAAAAATGGAGAATCATTTCAAAATTAATAAAAATGAGAGAAACTCCTAAAGAACTCTTAAAGTAATGAAATAAGTTAGAAAAAAATAACAAAAATAAAAGGACGGAAAGTAACAAACAGAGTGTATTTACTTCAGTGTTTTAAGAAAAGTTATTGTAAATAACTTTTCGTTTGAAATATTCTTCAATTATACTTATAATATTGGTAGCATTTTTTTTTTTACTTAAAACCATTTTTTCTACGGTGAATAGCCATTATTATGACATAATCTCCCTATAACAGACACTGAGACTAATTATAAAATTATCTAAAGCCAACAAAGATTCAAGCGACCGCTGTTGAGAAAAAGAGGGAAAAAAAATTCATTTGGACTCAGTTTTCCTAAGGATATCAAATTGATAGAAAAAAGTATCGCAATGCAACAATTTTGATACTTTTTTCTCTCAATTTGATATCCTTAGATAAACTGTAATTAATTAAAAAAAAGTAGTAATAAATTTTTCTAAACAATTCGATACAAATCAGAAATTAATTTATAAAATCGTTACTTAATCACTGTTCCCACTATAAATTAGTTAGTCTCAAAAACTTTATTAATAATTCTATTTAAATCGAATTTTGTTCGTTAAATAAAATTCGAATCTATTAATTTCAGTTCATTAAATCGTTTCTAAATCATCGTTAGCATTATAAATTACTAACTCTCAAAACTCTGAATTCTCTGCATAGTTTATTTCAAATATTTGAATATTAATTATTAACTTATTATAATTTACTAATATTCAGAAAAATGACAAAATCCTCGATAGAAATATATTTTTTCAAATTAAACTTAGTCCAAGCAAAGACAGTAAAAAATCTCTAAATTTATTCAGTCACTCATATTGTCTTACTTTGAGAAAAATTCCCGATGAATGTTTTTTTTTTTATAAAGTTTGGAATTGTTTTTTGTTAATAATTAATAAAAATCCAAGTGCAACGTGCTTACCTGGTGGTCCAGGAGGTCCCGGCTGTCCTTCAAAAACACCCGTCGAAAATGGTTCGCCATCGAGTGACATCGTTAAACCTCGATCGCCTTTGTCTCCTTTATCGCCCTGTTTAAAATTTAATTTTCAAATATCAGGAAGCGACCTACTATTGAATATATTTTACAATAGAGCAGAGAACAACTGCAATGTTTGCGGAAATATAGGAATATAAATATATACGCGCAGTGACAGTTAAATCAATTTTTAAATTTAAATATACCTAGAGTCTTTTTTTCTTGTAAATTGTAAATTTTTCTCAAATAAATTAATTTTGCAAATAATATTTATATTTAGCTCCAAGATTTATTTGTATTTATTATCTAAATTATTATTGTCATTATTATTTATTCTGTATTTTTCTGACTATTATTATTATTTATTTATTTATTTATAAATCAATTATTAATTCTTTTGATAAAAAATGGAAATTTTCAAAAAAGAAAAAAATTTGTGGAAAAAGTGAGAAAAAAAGAATTATATTTTAAAGCGAAATTTTTGGTGAAAAATTGAAGTGAACGAGATTTTTGCTCTTCTGGGTAAATATTCATTGCTGTTGTTTGTGTGGAAAGTATATTATTTACCTTTTGACCAACAGAACCTGCCGCACCAGGAGGCCCGATGGGACCTATTGGCCCTGCTGCGCCCTTCTCGCCCGGTGGTCCAACTTCTCCTGGCAAACCTTGTCTACCGTCGTGTCCGGGCAAGCCTTCAGTTCCTGAAGGACCCGCGGGTCCAGGTGGTCCAGGTTCACCCGGTTCTCCCTATACGCCAGTAAAAATGAAAATTCAATTAGTAATTCGATATTTTTTCTTCTTTTTTTTTCTTCTTTGAAATCAAAGAAACAGTTTGTTTCTCGGTAGAATAATCGAGAAACATTATTTCCTTAACGAAAATCATCAAAATTGATCACTCGATTATTTATGAAAAATAATCTAAAAAAATAAATAAAAAATTATAAACTAATGAAAAATAAAAAATTAATTAAAAAATAATAAACTAAAAGAAATTAAAAAATAAACTAAAAAAAGAAAAAAAAGAAACAGAAAAAATAGAAATAAGAAAATTATTTTAAATTAAATTTTTTTAATCCATTGAAACAAAAAATAAAATGAGAGTTTTACTTTTTATTATCTGAAAAATAAATGTTTATAAATAAATAAATAAAAATTTTTTCTAAAAAAATAACCAGAGAGTATTTTTCATGTAAGAAAAAAAATTGGCCCTTAAAACAAAAAAAAGTAAACCTAAATGAAAAAAAACTTTCGCTTTATTGTAAAAAAGGATAGAAAAAAAATTCAAAAATTAAATCTCAATTGTAAAAATAAAAAAACTAAAAGGATTTTAATGTTTCACAAAAAACCGAGATAAAAAGGTCATAAAAAAGACAATTAATTAGACAGTAATTCCTTCCTTATCAGTTAATCAATTAATCTTTATCAACTAATTAAAAGACATCTTTTTCTTTTTTTTCTTTTGATAAAAATATCTTACACTAATTAAAAGACAATATAAACGTTTTACCACATTTCTAAAAATATCAGCTTCCTCATAAGGAAGCAAAAAGAAAAAAAAAATGTCTTTTAATCGATTACACACAAAAATATTAGTCTCTTATTTTTGAACGAAATTTAATGAATTAGCCATTCATTGAATTTAATATGACAAAAATTAGATATTAAAATTCTGTAGAAAAAAAAACTGAATTCTTGTGTACTCTTGACACGTGTCCTTAAAAAACGAAAAATCTTCCAATTTTCCATGCAATAGAAAGCATGCAATATATTTATCAAATATAATCAAGAAATTCTCGTGCAGACAAGCAAATGAATAATGTTATCATTATAAAAAAAAAGAATGATTTGGTGTAATTGCAATTTTACCTTAAATTTTTTATGAATATAATTTTCTTGTACACACGAAAAAAGTAGGTAGAGGTAGCATTCACAGTGTGCTAAACACGATAGTTTACATAGAAATGAAAAAATATAAATGTAGAGAAAAGAGAAGCAGGATTAAAAATAATTTTTTTCTTTGTTTCAGCAAATAAGTAATAGTATAAGTATATCGGAAAATATTGATTGATTCTAAAAATAGTCAATTCTTTTCGTTCGGTTTGAACGAGTTGTAGTCAGAGGTGTTTGCTTTTTGAGACGAGAATAAAATTTTCTCTGAGAAACTGCGTTCAAATCGAAAAATTAAATGCAATTATTGAAAGTGAAATTCTTTTTCTTTTTGTTCGAAATTACAGGGTGTAAATTTGAAAGAGTAGATATAAAATTGAAAAAAGGGGGTAATTTTGAATTTTTGCATGTAAACTTTTTTGTGAGTCCTGAAATACAAGCGGACTTACTTTTAACTGTATGATGGTCTGCGCGCTGATATTATGTCCCTGCTCCTGAAGTCCCTAGAAGTAGGTCAACTACAGGTAAAAACCAAATCGCTACCAGATAAAAAGATATACGGGAAGCAATCGCCAAGGAAAACCCATGGAGGATTAATTTTTTATCGCAGGATAACTTTTTCTTTTCTCTTTCGTCTTTTTGGAGGATTTAATATTATCTCATTTCTTAATAGTAATATATATTCAACTCCGACATGCCCAGAGAGATACCTAACGACTGTAACTTAAATTATAATTATGAATACCATTACCAATCAAAAACCAAAAAACAAAATGTGTACTGCTATATGATTTATACACGAAAGTTTGTTTAAAGGTGAATCCAAAAAGAAAATTCCAAGAGAAAAATTCCAGCAAAATTTGAATCATTTTGCATAAAATCCAATTTCTATTTATTCTATACTTTTATATTAATTTACTTTATTTATGTACAAAGAATTCTGGTGAAAAATCGAATTTTCCCAAACAGCAAATTCATTACTTTAGAATATAATTCTCATTCAACATAATTTTTTTTTTTAATTATTAAATTCCGGCAAGTTAGGATATTTAATATACTTTTGATTAACTATTTTATAAAATGAAAAATTTAGTACTCGCTTGGAAATAATTCGGAAATTCAAAGTTGGCAAATTTACCAATAAAAAGACAAATTTTCTCGTAGGGGAAAAATCGTCTTTTATAATAAAAATGCAATTTTTACACAATTCGGAAAAAATGGGACATATTTCTCCTTTATTAAATTAGGAAATATTTTTCTGAATATATTCATGCGTGTCTCATTTTATGAATTGAAATTATTTATTCACTGAAGTTTCAGACATGACAATTGATAAATTGAACAGCATGTGACTGCTGGATCGCATGATCGTCGCAAATGTTAATTTGTAAATCACTTTTCTTGTGAAATAATAATTTTTCTGAAAAATATAAACAGAGTTTACAAATCTATTTGTTTACAATTCAATTTTTGCGAAATTTCGATTCTTCGGAAATTCTTCAATTAATTACACATATATTAGAAAATAAAAAGTTCAAATAATTTCAGAAAAACTTTTTCAAAAAAAATTAATTCTACAGAATTGTTATTTAAAAAAGTAAAAAAAAAATTTTAATTTTCAAAGATTTTAACTTGAAACCTTTTCCAAATTCAATTATTTATTAAAATTCAGCCTATAATGCTTCTAATATTCAATTATTATCTAAAATTCTTATAAAGAATTTTATCAATAAATTTTTAAATAATTAAATTCTTTCGAGGAATTTTAATAAATTTTTTAAGAATAATTACATTTTTCAAGAAATTCAATTAAAATTGTATTAAAAATCATTGAAATTCTGCGACGAGTCTTATTATTTATGAAAATAATTGAATCTCTGTAAAATTTTTAATAGTTATTCAATTTTAATTTTTGAAAAATAATTGAATTTTTTATAAGAGTTTTATGAAATTTTTTTAAAAAAATTGAATTTTGGCGAAGAATTTTTTAGCTCAAAAAGATTATAGAAACCTTGACAATAATTTAAAAAAATATTTTGAAAACAATTGAATTTCAGCGAAGAATTTTATTACTTTTAAAAATATTTGAATTCTTGGACTGAATATTGTTATTTATAAAAAAAATGAATTTTGCAATAATTTTATTAAAATTCCTGAAAAAATTGAAATTTTGATAAGAGTTTTATTAAAAGTTTTGAAAATAATCGAATTTTGACTGAAAATTTTGCTATTTATAAAGATAATTGAAAACTTGACGACAATTTTTTAAAAAATTTTGAAAATAATTGAATGTCTGCGAAGAATTTTATTACTTTGGAAAATAATTGAATTCTTGTCATGAATATTATTTATTTACAAAAATAATTGAATTTTGCAAAGAATTTTATTAAAATTCCAAAAAATAATTGAATTTATGCAAAGAATTTCGATATTTATCAAGATAATTGAATTCTTTAAAAAAAATGTTGCGTTAAAGTTACTAAATTAATATTAAAATATTGAAAAATTCAACTAATTTCAACAGAATTGAAATTGAAAATTTTCCAAAAAATTACTTTCACAGAATTACTCATTAAAATTATAAGAAATTTAGAATTTTCCTATGAATTCTAAAAATTTAATTTCTTTCAGCACTTTTAATAAAATTTCCTGACTTTTCCCTTAATTCCCTGACCTGTGGCAACCTTGATAAAATAATTTTAAAGAAAAAGAAGTAAAAATTGAAAGTGAAATTCATAGAGTAGAGCGAGAAAAGTAATTTACAAATTAACATTTTATGGCGCGAGCACGTGTGAAATTTCTCCGCGCACAATTTCAAATTACTTTCCAAACTTCAATAATAAGTGAAACTTGTGATTTGAAATTGTTTCTTCAATCAATAAAGCTTCAGCGATTTTTCAACTTTTCCTTCAATATAAACTTCAATGAATTGTCATATAGATTAAAGTTGTGTTGGGAGAAAAAGTTTCAATGAAAAGTTAACTTTTTAAAAGTTTGTAATTTCCTCTCTCAGGATATTTACGAATCGTGTCAAAAAATTGTATTTCTAGAGTGAAAAATTTCGATTCTTTTTTCTTTTTTTTTTCGTTTTCTTTTTTCGAGATATGTAATCATATTGCAGTACAAAATACATGTATCAACAAGAGAACGCTACACCGAAAGCACCGCATAATGCAACGTCTAAGGAAAATAGTAACAAGAATGTCAGAACCATAAACGAGCCGTGGTTTTGTTGAAGGTTTGGTTACCTTCAGTGCGACGATTTCTGCGTATCCAAGTGTTCCACCGCGAAGCGTCGTCACCGACCTCTTTAACCCCAATCCCTGTGCATTGACCCGTAGGTGGGAAAATTGTTTATTTTTTATTTGTATATTATATAGAAAAACGGAAATTGCATATACATATACATATATATAAATATTTCTTTTCTATTGTACTTCTTTCTTATACTCTAAAGGGAACATGACAATATTCCCTTAAAGGTAGAAAATTCCTTTCTACTTACAACACACAACGAATACCTATACAAATTTTCATTTTACAGTTGATGAAAATTCAGCCAATGAATAATAAAAAGATTATTTTCTTTCAAGTAATTTAATTTAAATTTAATTCAAATTTAATTTAATTTAATTTAATTTAATTTAAATTAATTAATTATAATTAATTACGAATATTTTATTTAATAAGCAATTATTCTTTAATTTTTATTTAATCAATTTAATGATTAGAAAAAAATCTGTAGTTACAGATTTTCCAAAAGCTGAATTTTCATTAACTCTAAATTAAGGAAATAAAAAATAAGATTATCACACAAAAAGGATGAAATAATTCAATTTTCGAAATTATTAAACTAAATTATCAATTTAAATTGCCTTGAATAATTAATGTCCCAAAAGTTCTGAACGTCCATTTACTTTTTCCTGAAATTAAATTTTTACTCCAAAAATAAGTCACGAATAAAAAAATAAATATTTCAAATAATTTCTTTTTGCTTTTTATTTAAATTCGAAAAAATTAAATTTCAAAAGTTACAGTCAGTAACTTTTGAATTTCGTTCATTTCAACGTTCATAACTTATGGATCATTTTAATATTGATAAACTACTGGAAAATTCACCTTTAAATAAACCTCTCTTTATATTTTCTCTACTTTAATTTTTAATTTCACTATATAATTTCAAATTCTAACAAAATAAATAAATAAAAATTGAACTAATTGAATAATAAAAAATTCTGAAAGTAGAAAAATTTAGAATTCTTTTCAAATTATACAATTTTTCTGAAAGGTTTTTTTTGTATTTTTTTTTCTTTGTGAAAAATTCATTCCTCTCAATAGCAATTTATGGTACTTTTTTGAAAACAAATTTACTTTGAATATTGCCACGAAATTGCAATTTTTTTTTATCGACAAATTTTAGAGATTGTAAAAAATATGTCACGTCAAAATTTTTCACTTAAAAAATAAAAAAAAATTCTATTCAGGCTGATGATTTTTTACTAACAGAGATAACATTGAGTTTTTAGAAAAAATTTTCATTTCTGTAAAAACTGATTACTGATTTATTATTATACTAATTACTAAATTAAAAAGGAAAAATTAATCTTCTTGGAAAAATAATATGTTATCAAGTGATAGATACCTTTACTGCTGAGAATACATCATAACCAGGACTTCCTAGCTCTCCTTTCTGACCTTTGTCTCCACTCTTGCCCTGAATAAATAAACAAAAGTAATTAGTGAAAACTAATCCTTGCAAATTAAATTAATTTTAATTTATTTGATTTATTTAATTTATATTTATATTTAATATTCTACACTGAAAAAAACTTTATATGGTTCAAATAACAGATTACTTGACTATTATCAATTAAATATTTACTCGAGTCAATTAATTTTAATTTTAATCAATATTTGGTTCAAAGACAATTTAGTTGATTTAAATAAAAATTATTTGATTCAAACTCAATTTATTTGATTCAAGTAAATATTTATTTAATAATTGACAAGTAATCAGTTATTTGAATAAAATACATTTTTTTTTAGTGTAAATAAATTTAAATAAATTATTGTTTAAAAATATTAATTTTTATTTTATTAATTAATGATTATTAATATTAATTAATATTTTTTGTGTTCACAATAAAAACACAATCTATAAATAAAATGAACGATAAAAATTAATAAATTAATTAAAAAACAAATTGAAGTAAAAAGTAAACAAACTCACCGGTTCTCCTTTCGGTCCATCCAAGCCAATAGGACCCTTAAAAAGAAATTTAAAAATTATTCTCCATACATTTTCATATACGCGTGAGGTATTAACTTAACGCTGCAAATGGAAATAATTTAATTTTTCCTGCACGTATTTTATTTTACGGACAGTTTATTTTTGTTGAATTTCTGTCAATTTTAAATTAAAAAATTTTAATCCATATATGAAAAAATATTAATCGGTAACATGCTTGCAGGCAATAATTATATTTTTAATCGTATTTCATATATTCATGGACATTAATTATTATAAAAAAACAAAATAACATTAATGAAAAATAAATAAAAAGCCTCCGTACTGTTATAAAAAAAGGAAAATTGAAAAAATAATTATCACATCATGCATAATAAACGGAAAATAAATGAAATCAAAAACTAAATATACCGGAAAACCACTTTTCCCCGGAATCCCAGGTACACCCTGTAAGAAAGGTTATGAAAAATTAAAATGGTTAATTTTTTATTAATACTACATTCATGCTAAATCATAAAAAATTGCATTGTTAATGGCACTCATTGTTACTATGTATAATTAAAATTGTTTCATGCAAAAAGAAAAAAATCACTGACGAAAAAATAATACATTTTGTTTAAATAATCGATTAGGTACTTTACTATTAAATAAATAAAAGCGAATAATTTTCTTTAATTAATATTAATCGGGAATCAGTTAAAAATTAAATTAGTAAATCTTGTTTTTGTCTAAACTTTTTAAAATTAATTTAAAAAATTTAAACATTACTTATTCTGTTTACTTTAGTTTACTCGATTCCATAAAAAAAAATATCAGCGACTCAGATATCATTTAGTTTGGGTCGAAATAATAAATATTTTGAAAATAATCCATTAGTTGAACAAAATACATTTATTTCAGTGTTTTTTTTATTTTTCAATTATACGGACTACGCCACTGAATGTGAATAAGGTGAAAATAAATATCTACAAAAGTGTTAGTTAAAAATTCTAAATACTGTTCTATTATTATACTAATTAATATTAATAACTGTTACTATTAATATTAATACTATTTTATTATTATTATTATTATTATTATTATTATTATTTTATTATTTTATTATTGCCATCAATATTATTATTTTATTATTATTGCCATTAATGTTATTATTATCTTTAATATTTATATTAATTTTATTATAATTGTTATTACTGTCATTATTTTTTTATCGGCAGGTATTATTAATGTTTTTCGTGATTAATTATTTTCTAAACCAATTTTCCACTTTTAATGTTATTTGTTACTACTTTTGTAAAATAAAAATTTTTACAAATAGCTTTTCTGTAATTTTTATACTTTTCTTTTTTATTATAAATTCAAATAATTTTAAAAATTACTGTCGTAAAAAAATGAACTATATTATATTGTACTAACAAATTAAATGAATATATACTAAATAACAAATAACAAAAAATATAAAAAAAATAATAAGTAATAATAAAATATAAACATACAAATAAATAAATAAATAAATCACTTCACAGAAATATTTACACATAAATTGAAAATATATACTCTAAACCAATATTGGACAAAAGAAATGTTTATTTCTCTATTGGAACAATCGAATGAGTTATTTATTGTAAAATTATATTTATTGACCGTTAAAAAAATATATTAAAAATAACTTTTTAATAAAATAAATCATTATTTTCTTGATTTGTAGAAAATAAAATAAATTGCTAGGTATCCTTTTGATTTGTATAAAATAAAATAAATTAATCTTTTTGATTTGAAAAATAAAATAAATCATTACACTTTTTTATTTGTAGGAAAAATAAATATTTGATGCGTAAAAATTATGAAATTCGTTCTTTTTGGAAACATAAAGCAAAACTAAATCAAATTTATAACAGCGAAAAAAAAATGTCATTTACAAACACCTGAATTTAAATAAAGCCTGAATTTGTATACACTTTAACTCTTTTTTCCACCTGGGAGAATCCAGTTTCACCTTATATTTATAATTTTGGTCTTTAATTTTTTTAATTCTCAGAATATTTCTTCTTTTTTTCATTCAATAAACATAGATGTCATGAATAAATTAAAATTTTATTTCTTACCTGTGTACCTGCATCTCCGGGATCTCCTTTTTTTCCTTTCTTCCCTCTTTTTCCTTGTGGTCCTGCAACACCAGGTGGACCTGAAACATAATTTATAAATTTCAATTCAATTTTCTCCCGCGCATACACATATGAAATATATAAATTAATGTGCACAATTTTTATTTATAACAAAATCTTTCATTTTTAAATTTGTATTTATACTTTCGAAAATTCAGTGTCGCCGTAAGTGTATTCTATGGAAAACAATTTGTTTACTAAAAATTACAATTATAATAATTATAAAATTTTTATTTAGGTAATAACAATTTATTTATTAAAAATTTATTTACGTTTACTAATTTGATATAGTGACAGACTTTTTGCTTTTGAATTAGTAGATTTTAGAAATAACTAATTTTAAAGTAAATTTAGTAAAATTTACTAATTCCTAATTATTTATTAAAAATTTATTAGTAAAAACGTTTACTAATTTGATATAGTGACTAACTTTTTGCTATTGAATTAGTAAATTTTAGAAATAACTATTTATTAGTAAAATTTACTAATTTAAATGCAAAAAGTCGGTCACTAACTCAAATTAATAAATATTTTTGAATTAGTAAATTTACTAATAAATTAGTAGAAATAACTATTTATTAGTCAAATTTACTAATTTAAAAGCAAAAATTCAGTGACTAATTAGTAAATATTTTTGAATTAGTAACTTTTACTAATAAATTAGTAGAAAGTATTTATTAGTATTTATTAGTAAAATTTACTAATTTAAAAGCAAAAAATTAGTCGCTAATTTAAATTAGTAAACATTTTTACTAATTCAAATTTAGAGAGAAAATTAATTATTATGAAGAATCAAGTTCACAACGTTTATGATCAACGATTAAATAAAAATTTATATTTTTCACAAGGAAAATAATAAATTCGTTTGTTTCAAAAAACGTTTCTTTAAGAAATTTTTACAGAACTTCTTGGTCCACAAAATTTTAATTTCTGGGTGGAAAATTCGTTTAAAAAAAAAAAGTTGATAAAAATTTACATAAAAAAATATTGAGTTTTGCTAATTTTATTTCTTTATTATTTAATAATTTAATAATAGTGAAGTAATCGATTATTTGAATACAATTTTTTTCCACTAATATTATATCCAAGAGACACGGTGCTTTTTCCAACACAGAAGTTTCCATGTAATTTATGAACAAAACTAGTATTGATTTTGGAATTGTCATATTATGTGAGAAATAGATGGGCTCTTAGAATATATGCATTGTTGCTTGGATGATATTCCCATGTGGGAATCTTGAACCGGCGATTGCGCCGGAAATTACGCTTTATTAAACTCTTGACCCGTCGTTTAGATGAGATATAACTAAATTGTTGATTGTATAGAGCAGAAATCTCCGATCTAATTTGACACATCGACTGATTTATTGTATACAAATTCCTATCATTCCAATCACTTATGCATTGATAAAATATGACAACTAAAATTCACCTCCTTCTTTTTTATCTTCCAAAGATTATTATTTATTTCCCAACAATTGTTATTATTTACCTATTGTTTTCTATATAGAATTTTTATTGCATTCCTTTGTTTTTCATAAAATTTGTGAAAAATAATTTTTACTTATAAAAATTTATTGTTATTTCATTTATTTATTTATAAATTTATATATTTATTTCCTAATAAAATAATATTTTATTATTATTAAATATTATTTATTTATTTTGTACTAAGTAGAAATGTTCCTCAAGGTTCGAGACGATAGTTTTCCAACTTCGTTTAATTTGTATTTCTTCTTTTATAAAACAAATTATTTTGTATATTAAAAAAATTATTGTTTAACTTTAATTATTTTTAATTTTAGTATAATAATTTTAAAATACCTATTTAAAATAATAATAATAATAATAATAATAATAATAATAATAGTAATTAAAATAAGAAAAATTGTGTACATTTGAAAATACAAAACTTTAGGAAACTAAATAGAAATTAATTTAACGAGTGACAATACATTTTTAACAATAAATTATAATAGTAATAAGAATGAAATACTAATAAGTTTATTAAGTAAAAATTATTTTAAAAAACAAATAATTATTTGAACCGATTATTATTTTTCTATTCGAATAAAATTTAATAGAATTGTTACTTTCATTTGAAAAAATGATTCACAAATTCAAAATTCAAATAAAGGAAATTATCTGCTACTGAAAATATTTTTAATAATTAATGACCGTACAAAAATAAAAAAAAATCGAAAAGCAAAAACAAAATTCAAACATTTAGAATCATTACAATTATTTTTTTAATACGTGACACAATATTATTGTAATAAAATTTTTATTTTAAAAAAGAAAAAAAAATTTATTCATTCGACTTAAAAACTAAAGTTTTAAAGTCGAATGAATGAAATTTTAGGGACATTTTGAAAAATAATTAAATTCTAATACGAAAAATAATTTTCCAAACTATTTAGACTAATTTTAATTTTCCAAATTCTTTAAAATTTAATTTTTCAAAATTCCATAAACTAGAGGAAATGCCATATAAAGCAAAATTTCCATCGATTAGAATGATTAGAATCATTTTATATATTTACATAAATGTATATAATCGTCTCTTTCTCGCTTTACTCGTTTTCTACTCATTTTTCTTTTTTTTTGTCGTTTTGTTATTCATTTTAGTCGTTTTCATACTCATTTTCCTATTAAAATATATACGACTGAAATTTGCAGCGACAATCACTGATAATTTCAGTATTCTATTTTAACTGCTTCATTACTGAGAAACGACTAAAAAACTTAAGAGAGAGGATGAGTTTATCTTATTGAAGTTATGAAACTTCTTAGATTCAACGCAATTATTGTTATAAAAATCTTTTTTAATAAAAAAGTTTCCTATACAAAACTCTTTAAAACAGAGAAAGGCTAAATTAATTTTCTTCCCTCAACAAATGTAATTTAATTTCTGTTTGATAATTTTTCTATTTTTTTAAACTTTTTTTTATTAGAGCAAAAATTTTGTGTGCAACAATTTTTATTAAATGAAATTTTTCTTGATTTTTTTCCACTTATATGCAAATATTCCACTTAACAGAATTTTGTTTTAATTTATTCTTCTTTAATAAATAAATAAAATAAATAAATAAAAGAAAGAAATTAAATTAAATGAAAGAGGTAAAAGAAAATTTACCTACATAAAAATTCCGTTGAGCGGAAATTTAGTTAAATAGATAATTTACATCACATAAATCAAAAATGTATAAAACGAAAATTTGATGATGAAATAAAAATTTTTTAAAAAAATTCTGTACTAAAAAAGGTAAGAAAAAATTCTTCTTTCTAAGAAACATTCAGAGAAAAACGAAACAAAATTCCAATCGACATTTAATTAAACAAAAATCCCCTGAAAAAATATTGGCTGAGATATAAAAATTCACGAAAGTAATCTGATTTAAAAAAATATTGAAACAAAAAATTTCCTTTTAATTAAAATAATTCCATGTGTGATATTTCAATTTATTATAAATTCTCTGTGTAAAAAGAATTTATAGCTAAAGAATATAATGCGATGTCTCTAAAGTTCTGAACGTTCAAACGAACGAAATTTATTTATTTCTCTTTTTTCAAATTTCATTTTTATAATATTGGGTACAATGTATGAAAAAAATTAATAAAATCACTAAATATTTAACGTTCTTTTATTATTCGGTATTTTTTCGAAAATACTTATATGGATCAAATATTTCATTCTTTTCAACGTATTCTGAGCTTATACGAACAACGAATAATAATATAACATAAGTTTTGAACTTTCAAATGAACGAAATATTTTTTATCAACATTATTTTCAAAACTCACAGCTTGATGATAAAAAAATTAAAAGCCTCAATTTAACATTTAAAAATTTCATACAATTAATTTTTTTATATGTGACGATCATAATATATTCTTAATAATTTATTATTGTAACATAATTTCAATTTTGAAAAAGAAATTTATAAATTTCATATAACTTACAGAAATTTTTAGATTTCAAATAAACAAAATATTTTTTTAAAATAAAAATTTTAAGAAATTAGTTCAAAAATTAAATTAATTAAATATTTTGCAAATTATATCTTATTTTTTTAATATTTGACACAATATTATTATAAAAAAGTTTAAATTTTGAAAAAATGTAATTTATTTGAAAGTTTGAAACTTTATATGGTCATAATTCAATTTATTCACACCCGTAGAGAAAATTTAGTTAAAATAAATAATTTTTAAATAAAATTTTTCTCTGGGTGCAGAATAAATTTCTTATGGAAATATTACTTTACAAGTTTTTTGAAAATAATACAATTTTTCTAATAATTTTAGTTGAAAATTTTTAAAATATTTGAATTAAACAAAGAATTTTTAAAATATTTTAAAATAATCATACTAATAATTATAATTTATTAAAAATTTGATTATTGAATTTTATCAAAATTGAATTGAAAATTGTATTAAAAATATTTGAATTGTTTCAAATAATTTTACTATTTATAAATAAAATTGAATTGTACAGAAAGAATTCGATTTTAGAAAATATTTGAATTTTTTCGAAATATTTTATAACGAAATTAAGAAAAACATTGAATTCTTTCGTGAAATTTTTTTGAAAATAATTGAATTTTTTTTTTTAAATCGAAAAATTACTATTTTAAAAAGTAATTGTATTCGTTTGTGAAATTTTATTAAAATTTTGTTTAAAAATAATTGAATTTGCAGAAAATTTTACTATTTACAAAAATAATAGAAATTCTTACGAAGAAGAATGTTAATTATTTATGAAAATAATAAATTAAATTCTTGCTAGTTTGAAAATAATTGAAAATTATTTAAATTGAATATAATTGAAAACTTGAAAATAAAAAATATTTTTATTATTTAATAATAGACAAGTAATCGGTTATTAGAATGAAATAAATTTTCTTTTTCAGTGAACTTTCTGAACAGAAGTAGATATAATTAATTACGAAATATTATAATAAATTCCATGTAATAAATTTTACAGTTAAATAACCCGATGAGAATGGAAAGAATTCTC